TGAGAACGGTCAATCAAATTAATATCATTTCCTTTTGTTTGGGAAAGAGAGACACTGGCAGCGGTCCACTCTACCCATGATTATGGGTTTTGGTCAAATATCATCTCTTTTTGATTATAATGTCAGGGTACTTTATAAAGTCGAAATATAAACTGATGTCTTCATTAATAAGGAGGAAGTTTTAACGATTTCGAAATCTATCCTTTAAAAACATTTCCTTGTGTTTAGGGAAGCATATCGGTCGATCACTGACTGAATATGCCACTTAATACTCATTCAAGTTGGCATTAAATTCATATATAATGACATTAAACTGTCGTGGCAAAGCAGAATTTGTTGGAAATCACGAATGAGCAAATTTCGCACCTTTCGCACGTGCAAACTTTGAGCAGACGTTGCGTGCGCATACAATATTGAATCGCCGTAAATTTTTGCATGTAATTGCTTTATATATAGTTTGATATGCATGCAAAGTTTCAAAGTATTTTAAGAAGAACTGTAATCACAACGGCACTCTAAAGTTGACAGAAAATGACGAAAACAGCAATTTTCAGTGATTTTAGCAATTTTCTATCAATTTGGGCGTGTCCCCACGTGTGCAACTTTTCGATTTTCAACTTTAAAACTAGCCTAATACACAATTTATACCTATAGGAAGCAGAACTGAGCTCCACAACCCAAGGCATGGCCCAACACCAGAGAATACTAAATCGCAAAATTGACGTTTTTATAAAATAATTCTTCAAAAAAGCACAAACTTCAATGACGAATATCTTTATGAAGGAGCAAGCTAGAAAAACTTTCCGGTAGATTTTCAGAATGCTTGAACAATTATCTAAGATAAAAATTTCCTCAGATTTTGAATAAAATTACTCCTTAATGGTTTAAAATTAATTTTAAAAGTTATTACTTTGTCAAAAATCAAGTTTTAAAAACGGTTAACTTGATGACGTCATCAAGGGGTGTTTATGACGTCATATAATTTTTTTATACAATGTAAACTAAAGTATAAACAATTATTTGCAAGACCTGTGGTCGGAAATGGCTGTATCTTTTATACTTTTGAATCTATGGACAATTAAATACAGGCTACAATTGACTGGCAAAGCGTCTATCCCTGAATATATGTATATATGTATCACGACAATCTATCGTAAAACAGGGGTTCTAGAAAACCCACTTCCCGATGCTCCTGAAACCTGAAACTTTTTTTGCAGTCGATTTGGTCAACGTCTAGACGCCCTGAAAAATTTCAGATCTCTAACTCAATTTTAACATGGTTTTTAAGGCACCTGAATATGGCGATTTTGGGTTTTTTACCGAATTTCGTATAACAGTGCTGGCGAGTATTTTTACTATTTTATGCAAATTTCTTAAAAATCTCAACATAACTATTTTTATTCCTGTCATCTTTGACATCAAATTAGAATGTTTTGAACTAAAAATAAATCTGCTGAACGACTTCCGATGAGTCTTAATGCCTGAAAAACTCCTGCCGGAGGCGGCGGCCTTCGGCCGCCGCCTCCGGCCGGAGTGCACGCTTCGCGTGCACGAAAGAGGCTTCCGACGAGTACCAAAGGGGTTATAATAGTAAAGGGGGTATAATAGTAAAGGGGGTACAATAGTAAAGGGGGTACATAGTATACCCCCAATAAAGACACCGCTCGTGCTTGCCAGCACTGTGATATATTTTGAAGAATTTTGAGGCTCACGACGTCTCGTCCCATGGGTTAAGTTGTAAGCTGAGTATATGTTCAAATCGCCTTACTTCGTATGGTGAAACATCGACAGGTTTGCCTTAACCTTTGGGACGAGTGTTTGCCCACTGGGGATCCAAAAATATGATCACCATGAACATTACTTTGACACGTGAACTTATCAAACGACTGTAATGATTCCATTAAATTTTCTTAGTACATTTAGCTAGTTTATAGTAGATACACACGATCACAGAATAGAAGAGCACAATTGGGCTCTTTGTTCTGCGACCGTGTTTCCTCGGTGGGCCGACAGGTTTTTGTTGTGTAGTAGTGCTGGGGAAAAAACACGCTTTAAATATCAATGAATGTAAATATTGTTAATTGACATTAGTGCCACAGTTTATGTGGTAAAAACAAATTTATGGTCAAACATTATATATCGTAGAAGGGCATGATTTACCCACATCACTAAGCATCTGGATGGATAATTAGCACACAAGGATAAACTGACCTTTAAACATGACCACCAGCAATATCATATAACCATAGCTCCAAAATAAATAAATTGCTCTACATAGAAACATCTGGCCTGATCTTATCACATTGTGGTCCCCTGGGGTTCGGTAAAGCCCTTACAGGCAACTGGGTCCTTTTACCAGCCACAATAAAACTAGTCATGCCAGTACTGTCATAAACTGTAACCAACTATTTAAAAATAAGATATCTTTTGCTAGAATTTTAAATTTTAAGCCATAGAGCAATCTTCTCAATTTTAAAACTTAAAAATAACATTTTACCCTAACTATGATGTGGTGGCATTTCATACTTAACTAAAATTCAACTTTGAAAGTCAATAGATTATTAGTCACAACAAAATTATAGTTTAAGACACCCATTTTGCATTGTGTTTCCAATATTAGAATTTATGATATGTATTGATTGAATAATTGGTAATAAATTTAACTTTTGTTTTATTAACTTTTGTTTTATTATTGGCAGGTATGATATTTACACTGTTTGCTATATAGTGAAATATGTGTGAAAACACACCTAACCATGAAGCGGGGATATTATTCATTTGCCGTTATTAAACATGTAATAATAAACATTGTTTTAATAATTATGTACATTAGAATAATTATAACTTACCTTATCGGACGTTATTTGACCAGACATTGCGTTAACGGACATTATTTTGAACGGACATTACAATGAACGCTAGGGCCTCAAGCGTTCAACTTGTTTCCGTTCAAAGAAAGTCCGATAAGGTAATCATTATACTACACAGTAGTCATTGTATTTGTAAAATATTGAATTGTAAAGTTATCGTCAAAATTGACAATTATATATTGCTTAAAAACACAGCCCTTTAAAAAGTCACTCGGCAAGTTTGATCAAGTACGATATTTTTCTTTCAGAGAAAATATGCATACCCTTGGTTTGACCTGGAAAAACGTAGAGACAATGGGCACCCGCGTGTTCATCGTATATTTCAAACAGCCATAACTCATATTGCTGACAAAATATGAACATAATTACTTTATTGGCCTAAGAGTTATAGACTGTCAAAGTTTAAAACGCGCATTGGTATAGCACGTGACTAATAAGGTCCAATTTATATTTCTAAATATAATAGCAACCATAACTGGTTCTTTAGCTATACACAGTCATAGCAACGCAACCTCTTATACTCAAATTCACCATAACCACCCATACCCAATGAAACTTCTTTCACCGTTGTTCACGTCTTAAGGAGTTATACTTATACAAAAAGTAAATCCTTGCAAGACTTTTAAAGCAACCTGTGCAACATATACCTATCGGAGAAGATTTAAAAAATTGTGAACTATTTCCCATTGGAAAATGATATAATCTTTATACTTCATTTTTTCAGCTGTTGCAGAATGTCAAGCTGGAAAATTCAGTAATGGATCTGCAACCTGTTCTGAATGCGAAGCTGGGAAATTCAGTGCAGCGGGATCTGCAACCTGTTCCAAATGCGAAGCAGGGAAATATAGTGCCGCTGGATCTGCAACCTGTTCTGAATGCGAAGCTGGGAAATATAGTGCTGCGGGATCTGCAACCTGTTCTGAATGCGAAGCTGGGAAATTTAGTGCCGCGGGATTTGCAACCTGTTCTGAATGCGAAGCTGGGAAATATAGTGCTGCAGGATTTGCAACCTGTTCGGAATGCGAAGCTGGGAAATTTAGTGCCGCGGGATTTGCAACCTGTTCTGAATGCGAAGCTGGGAAATATAGTGCTGCGGGATCTGCAACCTGTTCTGAATGCGAAGCTGGGAAATATAGTGCTGCACGATCTGCAACCTGTTCTGAATGCGAAGCTGGGAAATATAGTGCTGGTGGATCTGCAAGCTGTTCTGAATGCGAAGCTGGGAAATATAGTGCTGCTGGATCTGCAACCTGTTCTGAATGCGAAGCTGGGAAATATAGTGCTGCAGAATCCGCAACCTGTTCTGAATGCGAAGCTGGGAAATATAGTGCTGCTGGATCTGCAACCTGTTCTGAATGCGAAGCTGGGAAATATAGTGCTGGTGGATCTGCAACCTGTTCCAAATGTAAAGTAGGAACATTCAGTGCTGCAGGATATGATTCTTGCAGCACTTGCGGGATAGGAAAAGACACTAACTCTGATAAAACCGATTGTGGTGAGTATTGGGATTTGAACTGTTACCTAGTAGTTGTTACTTATTTGTAGGATTTTATCGATCAAATATCAAATCCTAACTTTAACGGCAACGTCCAGATTCGATGATTAAGTAATTAATTAATTAATTAATTGATTAATTACTCAGTAACAAGAAGAGTCATTCATAATCAGGGTAATGATTTATTTTACAATAAAAATAGAACCAACTGCAGGCAACTGCCTTATTGTTGATAACCTTTTTAGTTTCCTGTCCGGCGGGTACCTACAAAGACAGTTCTATGGCAGAGTGTCAACAATGTCCTCTTAACACATACAGTACAGAGAGTTCGGGATTGTGTACTGCTTGTCCTCAAGGATCTCAAGCAAACGAAGATCGAACAAAATGCGGTAAATATGTCAATTTATCACCTTATTCGAAGCATTGCAATGCTTTTTGTAATACATGTTCTATGGTTTCGGCAGGTAGACTAGATAGGACTTACGACGTAAATTAAGTGTCTGTAAACTTGCACAAACATCATTGAAAAAATACATATTTGAACCAATAAACTAAGTTTGATTGCACCACAATAAAAATTATGTAATTCATTTTCAGTTTCATGTGAGAGCTTGCCCTCAAGCTGGGGACAAATAATGACAGAGTCACAGTTCCCCCTCGCACCTGGGAGTGAAGTATCCTTGACGTGTAGCACTGGACACACTCTGACTGGAGCCAGCACTGTCACGTGTATTGAGGAAGATGATTTCTCCTTCAACGAAGAGCCTTCTTGTGTGTTAGGTTTGAACATACAATGTATAAAATATGCAATTTTTTCCCGACAAATTTGTAATTTGTAATTTGTTATTTGATCGAGCACATTATAATTAATAAACCTGTTTCTGTTTACTTTTTGCGCCTTTAAGGCTTTGTTTCGTTTATCTTTATTAAGTTACTTTTAAACAGAATATTTTTCGCACATAAGTGGGCTGGTTTTAATCATGTTTTTTCTTTCCCTTCTGTTTCCTAAGTCATTTTAATCGTCGTACCTTGACTTCTAGCTTAGTAAACAATTTGTACACACAGACGAATGCAGCAAACTGCCGAACATCCAGAACCTAGGAACAACCACCCAATTTCCTGTTCCCTACGATACCCGGGTAACAGTGCATTGTGATGCTGGGTACTCTCTTGTAGGTGGTGACATCATCACATGTATCCAGGATGATAACTATCAAAGTATTGATGGTCAACTTCCTTCTTGCGAAGAAAGTGAGTTTATCATTTTAACTTCTGTCATTAACGTTTTTTATGTTTTTAGAGATGAAAAAAATTGTTACTTTGCAACGTAAATAACACAATACTACAATAGCACAATATAAGAATATAACTGTTGAGTGTTGATCTACTGCATTATTATAGAAATTGTCATAAAGTCATAACAACCAGATTTCTGTTCCGGCGTACCTCCTGATATTTCACATCTAAAGTCGAGCACGATTTTCCCTGTGAGTTACGGGATAGTTGTGTCAGTGAGCTGTTCGGAAGACAACGAATTAAGGGGCGACGAAGTGATCACCTGTAACCAGGGTGTTCGTTTTGTTTTCCAGGAAAAACCTAAATGCAATGATGTCGGTATGTGCAATCTTGAAGTGACATCTAAATCTCTTTCAATTTTATAAATTTGTTTCTTTAACCGACTGGTTAGAAATTAAAATCCTTTCCGCAAAAACAGTTCACAAAAATTTAATTGTATGTATAGTTAATACGTGCAAATGTTTATTATTTGTTTAACATAAGCAACAAAACAATTCGTATAAGAAGACTGGATGTAGCATTAGATTCTATAGGAACTTGTACGGAGTTGCCGATAGGAGGACACTTAAAAACAGACTCTGTATTCCCGGTGAAGAAAGGAGCTGAGATATTCGTGAACTGTGTTGAGGGGTTCACCCTCACTTCAGGAGACAGAACGATAACCTGTGTACAAGACGCTGACTATACCTCATCGACTCAACTTCCAACTTGTATCATTGGTAAGAATATATTTTTCAAAAGGTGAAAAATTGTGATGTCTGCACTACCAAACTGATTCCAAATGTCTAATTGTACAATGTTTGAACGACATGAATCTGAACTCCAAAAATCATCTTAATAAGAAAGACAATCAGAACTCTTTGTAAATATTGTGTTTTTTTTTCTTCAGAAAAGTGCACAAAATTGCCGAATATCTTTGACTTGAAGACCAGCACCTCACTTCCAGTGGACCACGGAACAATAGTGGAAATGGACTGTATCCCGGGGTACAGTCTGTCAGGGAGCAGACTCATCACCTGTATTAAGGACAAGAATTGGGGTTTCTTGGATTCTCCTCAGTGTATTTTAGGTAGGTTTTTGTCGTACTTTCTAAAAAGGAATTATGATCAAAGAATTGAGACACTGCAGCAGTGACATGAGAGTTACATTGTGAGAAAGAGCAATTTAAGAGCACTTATATTAATTTATTATATCCAAAATGATATTTTCATCATATTGGCACGGGTGATATCAGGAAAAATAAAAATTGGTTAAATTGAATCAATTTTTCCATATTCACCTGAAATTCGTTACTCACTTTCCCTGATTTATAATATCGTAGCAACAAACTGTTACCCAATCATCTCAGATGCGTGTCCAGAACTACCATCAGCTGTTTCAGACATGACAACAACCAGCACCTTCCCCGTGATAGTAGGAACTGTGGTGGAGGTGAACTGTAAGCCGGGTCACACTCTCGCCGGAGACAACAGCATCACTTGTATCAGAGATTTTTCCTTCATAATCAGTCAACGTCCTACCTGCACCATAGGTTTGAAAATCATTAATTAAAAAATGTAGTCCCACCTATGAGATCAGAATAATGAAGAAATGTATATAACTATACTATAAATGTGTATAATAAGTTCAAGATACTTAATTTTAACCTTACTCTACAGATCGCTGCACCGGTATGATGATTGAAAACTACCTTTCAACTGACGCTACATTTCCTATCACATACGGAACTGCGATCACAGTAGTCTGTGATCCTGAGTACTCGCTGACGGGCAGTAAAGTGATAACATGTGAGAAAGGGATTGTATACTCTCACCAGTCTTCACGTCCTAAATGTGTTAACTCAGGTGAATGAACCAATAGATTAGCTGATATTATCGTATCGTATTGAATGATTTAATAGTTTCATTTTAATTATAGGTTTATCATAAATATGACGAAAGAGTAACCTGACTCATTATCACTCACAATCACTCACCATTTCCACATTCATGTTTTATTGTTGGAATGTGGTGATAATGTTATCAGATAACATTTTTGTCTTTATCGACGACCAGTCCAATTGATGTGCTTGTTTGTTTTTTGTAATGTTATTCAAGTCTCTCCAAGATATTAACTTCAGAGTTAAACTTTTCCTTAAAGACAGATATCTTGTAATGAAGCAGGTACAATCCATGATCGACTTTGTTCGAGGGATAATTATATTTTCTTTTTAGTATCGTGTTTGACTAACGTGGATCGATTGCGCATTACACTTGTCGAACTTTTTCAATACCGACTGATCAGACCAAACTGTTATAGCACTGCAGAAAAGTGCAAATTTTCCATGCAATAACTGATAAGGTTATTCGTACTGAGTTGAACGGAAATATTTTGAAAGTTTTTCGATTAGATAATGTTTCTAATTGCAGTTATTTAACTTCAACGTGTATAAGGACGCAGTTTTAAAAAAAAATCTTGAAACCTCGGAGCTGAAGTATTTTAATTTATAAATTTAATTAATTAATTTGAAGTAAGTTTCGGCAATTCGGTAATGGCTAATGCAGCTACGCACGGTAAAGTCACGGTTAAGGCACGTTTAAAGCACAGTTAAGGCCAGAGAGGGGGGGGGTTAAAGTCGAGTTTCCAGTTTTTACATATTTGATCAGAACTGCTGGAGACAAACTAGAAGAAAAAAACCGGACCGAAATCTGACTTTGCGTTTTTAAAATATCGCGCACCAAATATTGAGGTTTACATGTAATTACATGTAAAACTTTAACTTAAACTGTAAAAAGTTAAAACGTCCTAAGTTGATCAGAAGACTGGCCACATCCAGGAGCTGGAACTTGGCACAGGTGTTCCTTGGATTGTTGCGCAAAAAACTTATGTTTTAGAATTTTGATTTTTGCCTTTGTTCTTGAAATATGAGGTTAACAAAATTGCAAAATGTGATTTTTGAGATTTTTTCACTGATGGGAGACGAATGATAACATCTTAGAGAGAGAGAGAGAGAGAGAGAGAAAGAAAGAGTCCAACCTTTGAAGTGAGTACTTGGCCCGCAGATTCGAAGGAAAATATGCGAATTTGGTCTTCAGATTTAAAGGAAAGTGCGCAATTTGTCGCGGAGAACTGAAAAAATCGCGATTTGTCGCGAAGTCAGGATCTGAAAAAATCGCGATTTGTTGCGGCAAACCGGCAAACGTGAAAAATCGTGATTCCGCACATGCCGCAATTTCCTTTTGTCTTTACCCTGAAAGTGTTTGAAATGCAGGCTTTGTCGCGAAGCGCCAAAAAATTCAGGCTGTGGCGTGAAGCGCCAAAAAATATTTAGAATTTGTTGATGGTAAATCACAAACTTTTGATCGAATGATTGTGCGTATTGCAGTACTTAGCTATTAGCCTTGTGTCACTGCAACGATTTAATGTTGGGATATTTCTGCTGATTAAAATTTTGTATCACAACCATTCTCAAATCCACAGGATAAGAATTTACATGTGATGGGACACCAGCAGAAAGGGGGGCATTAGCATAAAGTATTTTTATCTGTGATTTTGAATTTACATGAGCTTTGATGAGGGGAGAAACAAAATTCATATTTGAGTTTCTCTCAACAATCCAGGGTTTTATGGTTTAATGTCACTATTAACATTTGCAGGACGCAGGTGTATTAGTATAGTCGTTCCTAATGTATCATACAGACACAGCACAAAACGCTGTTCCTTCGTACACACAAACACAACTTTGACAATTTTACACATTTTTCATCGGAATGGCCATACTTTTTTAGGGTTTATCGCGCTGCAACTAACTATAGAAGTATAGAGGCTCTGGGGGTAGGCAGCAACAGTCAAAACCCCTAGTGGTAGTGAGGGGACAACTGCTTTAATGGCAGTTCAATGTCTTGAAGTGAAGTTAATCTTAAAATCGTTGTTGAAGGACTTCTCCATTATATGTATTATGAATATGATCTCCACTCTCCACTTCTACCCCTACTTCACACTCTTTCACTTCCTCCGACCCAGGTGTCTACGCTTACTTCGTGACCCTTACTGCTTACATTTACCTTGAGGAGGCCGGTTCTATAACGAATGTCATTGCTCACACGTGCAAAAGAATGAGTTGTTTAACGTGTTCCTTCTTAATAAGCCGGAATTCAAATTGGACTATAAATTAAGATCAATCTTACTACTAAAATCTTTTAATTCGAATTCCGCTAAAATATGAATATAACAAGGTTCAAATGCATATTAATACAATATGATATGATACAAATTTACAAATACAATAAATAACTTCAACATGTCAAACCTTAATGCAAAATTAATTAATCTCTCATTGCATCATTTTGCAAAAGAAGTATATTTATACCGCGCCGATGTTCAATAACAAATATGTCTGATAATATAATTAAATTATAACATGAAATGTTCTTGTAAGAGTGGAATATAACTAATCCTGTGAAAAATAATAATCGTTTCGATGCAGATAATCACTTGTTATATTATTCAAAAAGTACCACGAAAAACATTTATGATATTGTGCATTTTTATATTTATCTGTATTTACATGTATATTCGAAAACAATTAAACAAATTAAAGAAATCAATCAAACAAATTAATTTTTATCATAACATGATGTCCGGTTAACACTGCTGAGATTTTCATAAATCAGTTTCCGGAACTGGAAATAAAGGATTTGAATGAATTGTTGTAGCTTTTTTGTAGATCGGACTGAAAGGTTGAGCTGTTAGTATTTTTGACAATTTAATTAATTATCCATCATTTTACATAAAACATAATTGTCCTTATGTTAAATTACAACGTGCTGAAAACTATAACGGACGTGTATAAAAATCACAATGAATTTTTTTAATGATGTTGAAAGCCCCAATCCTTCGAATTTTTGAATTACACACGATTTATAATAATAGTACAATGTAAGTAATGCTTTGTGAATTATTGTGAACAGTGGCGTAACGTTGCCTGTTGCCGGTAAAGTTTCTAAAAAAGTGTGTTTCTAGAGCAAAACACGCAGTTTTGCAAGTACCATAGTTAAGTTTTTCAAAATTGTCCCACATTCAAACGACGATTTGGCGCCCCCCGCACAGCGGGGTCGGTGGAACTCTTCGTTACGCCACTGATTGTGAACACAACGAAATAAAATGCACGACACTTCTTTGAACCATCCTTTATCAAATGATCACAGATATGACTGATTCTTTTCTCTTGATCGAAACACTATTTAAGTAAAACACCCAAAACCTGAAAATCCAAACAATGGATGCAACCCACACAATTTATTTTTTATAACGATGGAAAATTACAATAATTAACACAAACCATAGTGCGTACATTACAAGCGTGCTAAATCACTCTACACTCGTTCTTCGAGATTTTTCTAGAAGGACCCCCGACAGTTGAAACCATTTAGAATCGGTGTATTTTCGGACGCTGATTCCGAATCACCCCCATGAGGCCATGACATAGGGTTAAAATGCTCCCCTGGCGAGATATTGGCAAACAATTGTCTCGATCACGTGATATGACCGTATAAGGAAGTTGGTATAATTTCTCGTTAGGGTTAGGGTTTCAGCAAATGCTTTTGTTAGGGATTGGGTTAGGGTTAGGGTTGGGATCAAATTAGAGGAGGTTAGGATAGGGCCAGCTAAAGAACGGGTTGAAAAAGTTACAGTCGAGTGTAGAGTGATTAATCATCATCCCGTACATTATCACAATAATTAACACAAACCATAATGCGTACATTAAGTGCATTCAAAATGTTTAACCTAAAATTATCAGTCCTTTACGAAAAGAGGGTTGGTGTGCACTGTAATGGGTTTTTCATAGATCGGACTGAAAAGGTTATAGCAATAATAAAAAATATAATAAAGTTGTAAAATAATACACACATAGTATGTATAAATATAATATTATAACATAACATTATAAAATAATATTATAACATAATATTGTAACATTATATTATAACATAATATTATAACATAATATTATAACATAATATACACTTAAAAATAATAATATGTACATCTCATCAGTTGAGAAGAAAGCCTTAAAATATTACAAACTTCAGCAGTATTAAATTATATTCAGCATATTAATAGCATCGTAGGATTATAATATGCTGAATGCTGATTTGCAGCCAAACACTGAAAGAACCTGTTAAACTGTTTGTTAATTAACTTTGGTAGGTATAATTGCTGTTGGAAAATGTTTTTCCCGTGTTTTTTATATGAGCATATAATCAAGAGTTTTGTGTTATACTTATAGTAACATAGTAAGATCAGCAACAGCGATCACAGCTAAATCAGCAACATCACGTTACTTTTATATCACGTGACTTTTATATCACGTGACTTTTAAATCACGTGACTTTTATATCACGTGACTTTTATACCATGTGACTTTTATATCACGTGCCATTTATATCAGGTGACTTTTATATCACGCGACTTTTATACCACGTTACTGTTATATCACGTTACTTTTATATCACGTTACTGTTATATCACGTGCCATTTATATCACGTTACTTTTATATCACGTGACTTTTATACCACGTTACTGTTATATCACGTGACTTTTATATCGCGTGACTTTTGTTAATCTTACCTCTGGGTGGTATTCCACTTCGCAGCTGCCATATCTTCTTCAAACTTAGCATAGAGTTTTTTGTCCTGAACACAGGTATACATCAAGGTACTTCACTGACCAAATTAAGCTACGAGATGTACATGATTATATTTACAAAGTCAAATTGTTCAACAATATTTACCACACACTTTCGTGTTTTTAATTCATTTCTATGAACACGAATTAAGTACCTTATCGGATTTTACTTGAACGGACATTAATTGGACGCTGGAGGCCCTAGCGTTCATTTTAATGTCCGTTCAAATAAAGTCCGTTCACAAAATGTACGGTCAGATAATGTTCGATAAAGTAACTCACGGCGTATGTGGTCCAACACTTCCATGCCAGGAGTATAAAGAGACCCAACAGAACTATTGCTCCAACGATTAGTAAAATAATCCATATCAGGGCCTGTAAAAAGGGCGACATGTTGTTTACGAACATTTTAATTTCAAATAAGCAAATAAAGAAACTCAGTCGGGAAACGTACTCATCAATAACACCATAAATAACACTATGAAAATAAATCCGATATTTATAAATGTATCGATAACGACTATATGGTGTAATGAAGCTATTTGCAAACTAGTGACTCACGAACTCATCGCACTCGATTTCCTTGTCGTAGAAGACCGTAATATTCAAACTCTGTTCATAGTTTGTTGAGGACATGTATTTTTTAGCTATATAGAAATTAGCCCTGCAGTTGTACTCGTCATCATCGTACTGTCCACATGCTTCTACCTGGGACAAATATACTCTGTTATTATTATAAAGGAGTACTTAAATATAAAATATTGGTGCCCATTCTCAAAGGGAGATCGTCGAAACGTACTTTGTGGCCGAACAATAAAAACATTAACGTCGCTAAGTTTGGTATAAGCAAAAGGTAATGACTGAATAAACACCAAAACCGTGCAAGAAATTTTTACAGTTTACAATGCACATAACTAAAACACTTCAGAGGAAGGAAAATTATAAACGGTTAAAAAGCTGATACTCAATGACCATCGATTATTCCACATCAACAGTTTAAAAACTAACCTCATGGTAGCCCATGTCCTCTAAATCCATGTTCTTCAATTTTTCTACATCAACAGTTTTATCCATTTCCTGGTAATTCACCCCGTTGTTATCACACTCTTGTTTACAGTATTGTTCGATATCCACATTCCTCCCAAGTTCTGCTTTCGGAAACCTGGCGAGGAATCATGGAATTTGTAGATTGAAATATAGGTAAAAAGGTATGTAAACTAGGTATCACGGTATGTAAACTAGATATCAAAGTATGTAAACTAGGTATCACGGTATGTAAAAACTAGGTATCACGGTATGTAAAAACTAGGTATCAAGGTATGTAAATTAGGTATCACGGTATGTAAACTAGGTATCACGGTATGTAAAAACTAGGTATCACGGTATGTAAAAACTAGGTATCAAGGTATGTAAATTAGGTATCACGGTATGTAAACTAGGTATCACTGTATGTAAAAACTAGGTATAAAAGTATGTAAATTAGGTATCAAAGTATGTTAAAACTATGCATCAAGTTATGTAAACTAGGTATTACCTTATCGGACCTTATTTGGACGGACATTAAATGAACGGACATATTATCTTAAAATTTATTCCGCTTTTATTTTTATTCCCAATCTCGATTCCTTGCTAGCAGTCCGGTTAGTTTAGTACCTTTAGTGGGTCTCTTTTAATCATTAGTTCTAATTAAAGAACCTCTCACCCTCTCAGATTTTCACCGCTCCGATCATTTTTATAGCTTTATTATTTTTATCTTTTTACTACACTTACTAACACGTGTGCATTAGAAAGGAGCAATAGTTTGCGGAGGCATTCTAGAACGGTATATATTTTAGCTTTCAGTTTCTGTTTCATTATCTTAAAATTTATTCCGCTTTTATTTTTATTCCCAATCTCGATTCCTTGCTAGCAGTCCGGTTAATTTAGTACCTTTAGTGGGTCTCTTTTAATCATTAGTTCTAATTAAAGAACCTCTCACCCTCTCAGATTTTCACCGCTCCGATCATTTTTATAGCTTTATTATTTTTATCTTTTTACTACACTTACTAACACGTGTGCATTAGAAAGGAGCAATAGTTTGCGGAGGCATTCTAGAACGGTATATATTTTAGCTTTCAGTTTCTGTTTCATTATCTTAAAATTTATTCCGCTTTTATTTTTATTCCCAATCTCGATTCCTTGCTAGCAGTCCGGTTAATTTAGTACCTTTAGTGGGTCTCTTTTAATCATTAGTTCTAATTAAAGAACCTCTCACCCTCTCAGATTTTCACCGCTCCGATCATTTTTATAGCTTTATTATTTTTATCTTTTTACTACACTTACTAACACGTGTGCATTAGAAAGGAGCAATAGTTTGCGGAGGCATTCTAGAACGGTATATATTTTAGCTTTCAGTTTCTGTTTCATTATCTTAAAATTTATTCCGCTTTTATTTTTATTCCCAATCTCGATTCCTTGCTAGCAGTCCGGTTAATTTAGTACCTTTAGTGGGTCTCTTTTAATCATTAGTTCTAATTAAAGAACCTCTCACCCTCTCAGATTTTCACCGCTCCGATCATTTTTATAGCTTTATTATTTTTATCTTTTTACTACACTTACTAACACGTGTGCATTAGAAAGGAGCAATAGTTTGCGGAGGCATTCTAGAACGGTATATATTTTAGCTTTCAGTTTCTGTTTCATTATCTTAAAATTTATTCCGCTTTTATTTTTATTCCCAATCTCGATTCCTTGCTAGCAGTCCGGTTAATTTAGTACCTTTAGTGGGTCTCTTTTAATCATTAGTTCTAATTAAAGAACCTCTCACCCTCTCAGAAAACTCCGTTTGGAGATATTCCTTATTATGCTCTAAGTTATTAATTTTCCTTGTGTTTGAATCCTGTCACTTTTTAAATGTATTTAGTCTTTGTTATTTTCGGCCGATTTCTGCACTTTTACACTGGGTCATCATTCATAATTTCTGGGATTGAGACGACTTATATCAGCATTTAAGGAAGAGTTTGCTTGTCTGACTTACTTCATTAGACACTTCTGGTCAAGAACTGAACAAGAACCACATTAAAAAACTGGAACATCTGAATGACTCCGCAACTTAGGAATCAACTACTCATTTATTATCGCTCAATAATCGGTTTGGTATCGACGTTACATACTTTATTATTATTTTTTTTAAAGCTGATTTTAGAAACCAGGGAATTAAAGTTACCATCCTAAGGCTAACATTAAATCGCTGATTTTATTTATATATATCATTTTTGTTGTTCTTTCTTTTCATTCAAAACATTCCAGTACATTGTGCAGAAAGTTGGAGATGAAGCCGTAGTACGTACATGTAGCATTGCACTGGATCGAACTTGTGTGTGGTTTCCTCCAGTCTGCGCCGCGCGCTTATATAAACATACGCGGCGCAGATCGACTGGAGGAGATTGCACTGTGTAGGCTCCGGTGTAATATGATATGTATGTACTACGGCTTTACAAATTTTGGAAGCATGTAGGGATATAAATCTGATACCAATCGTATATACTAAAAATACTCTAGCACAATTGTAACTGCAGTTTTACAGAACTCTAAATGCTTAATGAACACTCTTGCAGGTACCACCCGTATTCACACTCAGACCTGAGTTTAGTCATTTTCCGATACGAGATTGGGGACGGGTTCTATAAACAAACAAACAAACAAACAAATGAACGGACATTATAATATCAATATAAGAATATTAAAGTTTTGACTTACTTTACAGAGAGACACAGTACACAGTCGATATGAGTACTACATTGTAGGGGTCCACAGAAAATACATTCCTCACAGTATCGACCTCTGAGCACAAAAATGAGGTGTTAATTTATGGATTTTGACGAAAATTTGGAGTTAATATCCGGATTTTAGCGTTTTTCCGATTTTATAAGTGAAGCAGATTGGAATTCGGAGCAAATGCACTTGGAAATATAATTTATTTAATTGATTATATTTATGTTCATTAGTTTACCTGTAGTTAGGTTTGCAGATACACCTGTTGCACTGACAGTCCCCTTGTTCAGGTCCACTGCAGGGTAACTCTCCTGACTCCAACTCTGAAACAGTATCTACATCATGTGTTTGTTGTATAGTTTATGGTTTCCAGATTGGACGAAAGAAACAAATTTTGTGATGATTCATATTTGAGACATGAGAAACACCATTTTAGGACGCGAGGCCGAGAGTTAGAACTCCTCGGACTTCTCTAGATCAATCCATTCTGTAACGTCCTCAATAATAATACATGTAACAAATGTGTAGTGTTGTAATTAGTTGATCTTCGATTTATAAAGTCTAATAGCAATTCATTAGATCAGATACTAGCAAGGATACAAAGTCCCAAAATGATTATTACTTTTATTGAATTCACAATATCCTAAAATAATTTACGCTATTTATACAAGATTCCAATTATGTTTGACACCACTATGTCCCCTACCTGGGTCAGGGTAAGGATTATAACACTTGTCTGAAGCCAGCTCGCAATCACACGCTTCCCCCTCCGTAGTGGCTACTTTAGGAACCCCGTGCTCTGTTTGCTCGCAGATACACTCTCCGCAGTTACAGTTTCCTAACCCACTGCAGATCTGGTGAGGGAATAAGTTAACCACTGCAGATCTGGTGATGAAATAAGTTAACCACTACAGATCTGGTGATGAAATAAGTTAACCACTGCAGATCTGGTGAGGGAATAAGTTAACCACTACAGATCTGGTGATGAAATAAGTTAACCACTGCAGATCTGGTGATGAAATAAGTTAACCACTGCAGATCTGGTGAGGGAATAAGTTAACCACTGCAGATCTGGTGAGGAAATAAGTTAACCACTGCAGATCTGGTGAGGGAATAAGTTGACTTATTTACACGTGATGTAACTGTAAGTAAATAAAGATCTTCGTTGATCGGGATAAATAAGTTCGTTGCTTGGTCTTATTTCTTAAAATGTACTTTTATTGTATTGGATTTATAGATGAAGATGCAACTTCAAGAAAACAAATGTGATCTTACATCCGCTATTGTATTTGATAACATAATACATAACGGGTAATACTAATAAAACGAAAATAACCATCAAACACATTCAGTATTTAAGAAAACACAATTTTTAAATATTTATTGAAACTATATAAAATTTGAATCACCTCACCTTACCATTACCCCCCTTAGGGCACTCGTAGTTGGAACACTCACAGAACTCCCCGTACCGTATATAAGGGGTTTCCACACCAGGGGGTGTTGCCGGGTGTCTGCACTCACACTACCCACACTCACACCTTCCTTGTTGGGAACAGTACTGGAGAGAGAGGGGAGTTGTTAGTATTACTTTATAATATGGTATTGTTACTATGGTAACACTACCAATTACCATATAAGGTAATATTAATATGTGAATACTAACCATGTTGGTATTAGGATCAGATTTACAAAGTTCATCACTTTTCTGGTAGCGAGGGGAACACTCGCAATCCTCTCCGAAGTAAGGGTCTCTGCACTCACAAGGTCCACAGACTCTGCTGCCATGGTTACTGCACACATCCTCTCCTGCCACTGTGGATATATAAGTTTAGTTATGGGTATATAATATAACACACTATTCTAACTCAGTTTAGTTATTTGTATTTGTATCATCAACACTAAAGTAAAGACAATAATGAAAGAGATACTGAAAACGTCGTCCAATCACCGATCAGATAAGAACAGGGAGATAAAATTCATCATTGCGGAAATTTAAAATTATTGAATAGAATATTGCAATCGCAAATCTCAACTTATCACAGAAACTAAGCTCACCTGGAACGCTACTATAACAATCGCAGTCACACTGGTGAGTAATAGTGACGAAGACAGTATCAAAACCGGGTATTATAATGGGGATAACTCTGACAGGGGGGTCGTCAGGGTTACACTTTTCCAACGTGAACGTTACCTGGGTAACGAGAAATAGTTACCATAGAAACGTTACTGTTAAAATCCACCGATCAAGCAAGAGAGGCCTTTAATTTGATAAACTGCTAAAAATGTATTGAGGAATCCTATAACAGTAGTCGAGCTGTAAATAATACCTTCCATGGTAGTGTTACTATGGTAGTGTTACTATGGTTACTCACCTCAAACTGTACCGTCTCCCCATGTTTAACATTAGTACAGCCATTAGGAACACTCTCCGGACACAGTGGTTTAATGTTGATAACGTAGCCCAGATCGTCCAGGATAACCAGGTTGATGGTTGATGTGATACGGTATAGGGCGGTTCGGACAAGGTCTACAATGTTTGAGGAATCCTGGGAGATTATGCTAATTAATTTTATTTTTAATAAAATGAAAAATGTTTTTTAGGAAACGTATAAATAACCTAAAATTGTGTCTTGAGAGGATGACGAAATATTTATTAAGTGGTCTCTAACCTATAAAAAGTAAAAATGTAACCTAGGCTTATTTTGTAGGCTCCATGGTTTGCTTACATTATTTGTTATTTTGTAGTATAGAATGTATCATGAAGAGGGTATTAATTTTAGGTTTGTTCGTTGAATAGCTAGACGAATAGCTTATAGACGGCACTTTCTGAGTACGTGATGTGGTCGTAGTTCTAGCTAGATTTTGTAATTTTCTAGCTAGATTTCGCTATATTTCGTAATTTTGAAATCGTGCAACGTCTAGCAGGGTTCTTAGTCTCTGTATTCAGTGTTCATGGTTGCGCCAGGAGTTACAACTGTAAAGTAACGTTCCAGCTTCCACCATCGTGGTTGCAGTTTTGATATAGATCTCTCTTTACTCTAGCCAGTATGTCAATATCTATCACGAATTGTTTATTTATGGTGTGACCAGCTTTTATCTTACTGAGGACTACTCGGACTATAATACGAGAAATATTTATGTTCGGCATAATTCCGGTGACCTAAATGATTTTGGAACGAAAATGTGGGAATTTTTCCCGAAAACCGCCAAATTTCGTACCCCAAATTAAATCATGGTATTTGGGGATTTTTTTCATCTCTTTATTTTACAAAAAAGAAACCCAATATTTGTGAGCTTTTATCTAGCTGGGGACCTACTGCAAAACAACAAAATCCCCGCATCACGTATTAGGAAAGTGCCGTCTAGCTAGAACAACAACCCGTTATGTGTCTTCTAGCGGTCTAGCTGGCCAGATGTGGTGTGAACTTTTATCCTTTTTTCTCACGCTCCTTGGTTTGCTTACATCATTTGTTACAGTGTAGCGTTGATAATGTCAAAATGTCAATAATTTAGGTAATCTGGTTGTTAAATTTCTATTGCGTCGGTGTGAACTGTAAGTGTAACGGCTTCTATGTTTTGCAAAGGGACCTTAAAGTTTTTTCTGTGGTTCTCCACTCCGACCATGAGAGGATTTTGTTAGGAAAACTTGCATAAAACTCCAGGTAAGGTATATGTTTAATTTATTGATTTTTCACTAAATATATATTTTAATTTTGAATGCCGTTCGGTATTTAGATTTTATTGACCACTGAAGTTACAAATTAACTGAGAAGCCCCTAGTAATTACTGTCAGTTACTGACTTACCGGTGACAAGACCCCCACATCAGATAGCTGGGTCATGTGGTCACTCAGCTGTTCGTACAGGTTTACGTAGTCGGTCTCTATAGCGAATATCGGTATTATGTTGTTTCTGATCAGCATCTGGTTCACCTGCAACAGGTTCTTCAGTTGTACTAAAGATATTTTACTGGGCGGCGCTCATGGCAGCTGTCAATCTGTCATACTCATTCCGCCGCAGCTTCAATAGTGTTTACTTTTATAAAAACTATTAGCCTGGAGTCCCAAGGTAAAAGATAATCTTGTTAATACTTTAATTTAATGAGTTATACTTTTGCTCACATTTACACATTTGCTCACATCACTCACAGTCAGCCGATCTGACATGGTTAACCACCTTTGTTGTGATGTTGGTTAATCATATGAGCGTGATATAAATACCTCATTTCATTTCAATAACACGATTGAAATGCCTGAATAATTTGCTTATGATCTATTAATAGTTCCACAGTAAAACCGGGTAGAATAAAGTATTTAAATGAAGAAACTGCAAACGGGGGCCGACATAGGTTTAGTTAGTCAGAATTCATATGTATAATGCAGTTTCTACCATAGAGATACCATTTGCATATTATTGATAAATTAATATTATGAATAAATAAATCATGGTTATTTTAAGGAAAGGCACAAACTCACAAAAGAAGACCGCCGATGGGGATAAGGACCCTTAATCAGTTAATTATATCAGTAGCACCCATCTAATTATATATTAACATATTAATCACTTTAATTAACATATTAATTACTTAATTAACATATATCTCACCTGCTCAATAGTAGGATAATCCTGCTGCTCCGCCTTCTCGTAGTACCTATTCTCCTTATCAAGACTACATTTCCCACTATTAGGGTTAACTAACCCGGCCAATTTACCGTCCCCTGCAATGTGAATCCCCGCGTCGCTCGCGTATATTACTATCTTACGTGACTTTTCTCTGAATCCTGCCAATAATATTTAGATTAAAATTAACGATCATTTCAACTTTCAAATGTTTTTTTTGTTTGTTTTTGTTTTTCAGAAAGTAATTTTCCTGCTGAAGCAATTTTATTAAAATAAGCTGGAAAAACATGATTTATGATCACAAACTAAGTTTGATTGTGTGTTATCAGTGCAATTATTATCGGTCTTTTTTTCACAATTGCCAATACTATTTTACAATTGCCAATACTAATTAGAAAAAACACATGTCCAAACACATGTCAATCAAAATTCAAAAGTTACTTCATAAACTTACCTAACTTTTTGTAGCACGCGGCAACCTGTAAAAGCGCTTCAAAGCCACCCTCAGGAAAATCAATGTTCGAAGAAACCCCCAAATTATTAAGTGTATCTATAAAAGTTTCCAGACTGTTTGCCAGCTTCATTTCATTTCTAAACGAATAGGATGGCGGACACGAGAATGGCTGAAAAATATTATAGTGAAACTGAAAGAACCAAAAAAACGTATTTCTATTAAAAATATAACAACTGCTTAAAAAGACAATAAGTAAAAAGTATTTTCAAGAAGCATACACATAAGGAAGCACCTTCAATATTCTGGTCTTTGAATAATTATCCCACCAATTTAATCTTATAAACACAGTTTTTTCCTACACGGGGATACCAGGCTTTAAGTTTTTTTAATAAACTGGAGAATGTTATACTGTTATACATTACTCATTACCTCGCCAGTAAGCATATCAACTTCATCAGTAAAGCAAGGGTTCTTCAGTCTCTCCGGGTCCATGTAGGAATAAGGTGCTATCCTTTTGTCGATGAATGTTCCAAAACCTGGTATATTAAGATTTTATTTTACGCAGAATATTAATCAGTTAATAACATTAACAATAGCTCGTACTTTGAATATCTCAATTATGATGGTATTATATACAGCTTTTAACAGCTGAGCTATTAAAAATGTAAATACCTATCGTGAAATCTTCGCTGACTTTCCTGAACTCTTCGGTCAGGTTTCCCGCCAAAAGTTTTAAGTTTTCCAGATCGTCCTTCATAGAATAAGAAAAGTCCATCAAGTAGTAGGAGTCTATCGGATAACCTTCAGCCGGTCTGAGAATGATATTTTACATTTGTACTTGAACTGGTATAGAATATTTTACTACTTCTTACAAAAAATAATATATATCTAAAGAGACCCGGTTTGATGTTTGTGATTCGACATACCTAATGCTCTAATGGCTAATCAATTAATTAACCTAACTGATTAATTAACATACCTGACTTTGATAACCTGACTAACAGGTTGCTTTGCTCTAAGGTCTATACTGAACATGGTAGGAGTTACTTGGTTTGTATCATTCAACTCTGGTCCTGTGGAGGTTAGGTGTCTTGTCAAATACAAGGATTTATTTTATACTGGCCTTGAACTGGCTTGGTCCTGCAAGGGGTTGTAGGTCATTCTACGTTGATTTTAAAAGCAGAGAAGTGGAGGGAAATGCCAGTTAAAAAGCGGCTGAGCGAAGAAATTAGTATAGCCCAGTAAAAACATTTACATTGTTGCGAATGAATATCACCATAGCTCAGCTCAATATAATATAGCGATCAAATAACGTAAAACTAACCTCTTGAAACAGTGACAGTACTCTCGTAATTAGTTAACATGTTGCAAGTAGCGTTGTTGAGATACCAAGCTCCTGCCACAAAACAGTGGGGATGTGGCCAGGAGGAGTCAGCGCACCTGAAGTGGCTTGTCAAAACACAAGGATATATTTTATACGGTAATACTTATTAGTGCACCAGGAGGAGTCAGCGCACCTGAAGTGGCGTGTCAAACACAAGGATATATTTTATACGGTAATACTTATTAGTGCACCAGGAGGAGTCAGCGCACCTGAAGTGGCGTGTCAAACACAAGGATATATTTTATACGGTAATACTTATTAGTGCACCAGGAGGAGTCAGCGCACCTGAAGTGGCGTGTCAAACACAAGGATATATTTTATACGGTAATACTTATTAGTGCACCAGGAGGAGTCAGCGCACCTGAAGTGGCGTGTCAAACACAAGGATATATTTTATACGGTAATACTTATTAGTGCACCAGGAGGAGTCAGCGCACCTGAAGTGGCGTGTCAAACACAAGGATATATTTTATACGGTAATACTTATTAGTGCACCAGGAGGAGTCAGCGCACCTGAAGTGGCGTGTCAAACACAAGGATATATTTTATACGGTAATACTTATTAGTGCACCAGGAGGAGTCAGCGCACCTGAAGTGGCGTGTCAAACACAAGGATATATTTTATACGGTAATACTTATTAGTGCACCAGGAGGAGTCAGCGCACCTGAAGTGGCGTGTCAAACACAAGGATATATTTTATACGGTAATACTTATTAGTGCACCAGGAGGAGTCAGCGCACCTGAAGTGGCGTGTCAAACACAAGGATATATTTTATACGGTAATACTTATTAGTGCACCAGGAGGAGTCAGCGCACCTGAAGTGGCGTGTCAAACACAAGGATATATTTTATACGGTAATACTTATTAGTGCACCAGGAGGAGTCAGCGCACCTGAAGTGGCGTGTCAAACACAAGGATATATTTTATACGGTAATACTTATTAGTGCACCAGGAGGAGTCAGCGCACCTGAAGTGGCGTGTCAAACACAAGGATATATTTTATACGGTAATACTTATTAGTGCACCAGGAGGAGTCAGCGCACCTGAAGTGGCGTGTCAAACACAAGGATATATTTTATACGGTAATACTTATTAGTGCACCAGGAGGAGTCAGCGCACCTGAAGTGGCGTGTCAAACACAAGGATATATTTTATACGGTAATACTTATTAGTGCACCAGGAGGAGTCAGCGCACCTGAAGTGGCGTGTCAAACACAAGGATATATTTTATATAGTAATACTTATTAGTGCACCAGGAGGAGTCAGCGCACCTGAAGTGGCGTGTCAAACACAAGGATATATTTTATACGGTAATACTTATTAGTGCACCAGGAGGAGTCAGCGCACCTGAAGTGACGTGTCAAACACAAGGATATATTTTATACGGTAATACTTATTAGTGCACCAGGAAGAGTCAGCGCACCTGAAGTGGCGTGTCAAACACAAGGAAATATTTTATACGGTAATACTTATTAATGCACCAGGATGAGTGGACACCTGGTGGGGAGGTGTCAAACATAAGGATATATTTTTACCAGAAGTTTTGTTAAAAGATCGTACGATTTAGTTTTTTAAAACCAATCAAACACAACAAAGGCAATATGTAATTGTAAGTGCGGAAATGTGTTTTGTTACAAAAACACCGCAATTAAGCTGAACAATTCGCCAAATTTGCAGCCTTTATAGGTACTTAGGTCTTAGGTACTTTCAGGTTGGATTATCCGACAGCGTAGTATATAATGTTGCATTACACATTTGTTTAGTTTAGCACAACACATAAGTTACAAGGTTAATGTCGTACACTGAGTTTCCTAACAATTCAAAATGTATGGATCTAGAATTACCCTCACAGATAAAAAAGGGCGTGGCCGCCACGCAAATTACACAAGGTTTTTTTCTTGGGAATTTTGAGAGAAGTTAGCTGAGACATATATCTACACGTAGAAATCAAAAATCCTCTGTAAAAAAATTGTTCATATTTCCGTGGATTTTATGCCAGGATGACTACACTAAATACGATTAGATGGGCAGGGCTAGCTTAGTTGAGCTAGTCATGAGCATAACTGAGGCAGAGTATTCAATATTGTAACTCCACAACACACCCCAACTCATTGTGTGTATAAGCTAAAATGCCTGCAAACTGCATGCAAACTGTAATTTTATCTAATTTAAACTAAAATACATCTAATCGTGACTAAAGTGACTCAATTTCAATCTCTTGAGAGATTGCGATCCAGCTTGAAGTCTGAAGAGTTATTCATTTGCCAAGATTCACTCTTTGATTTTGTTTATCTATCAAATATCGATAGTATTTTAAGTCACTGCATTATATCAACTTGCCATTTAATAAATGATAATACATAATAATTATAATGAACTTTCTGGGAATATGTTTTAGAAGAAAGATTGTGTGTTTATCCTGATGAATTTTTAAAGTAATTCGTTCAGTTCTTTCCCTTATTTTTGATGTTATGTCATGGAAAACATTTAACCCTAACCATAGTTATGGGCATGTCAAATCTAAAAAAATAACGATAGCTGGTTAACAAAAAAAGTATGGTATATAAGGTCAAAAGTGCGATTCCGCACCCACCGAACGTTTGTATTGCCTCTGAAACACAAGGATTTATTTTATACTGTGGAAGTTTTTTAAAAGGATTGTGAACTATTCGCAGCAGATATTAAAATTCTTGATTTAGTCTTGAAACCCCAATCAAGCAATTAGAATATAATGTGAGGTACTTACATAATGATAATTACCACGCTAGATACTTATTATTTTTAAAGGTACTTACCAGGCGCATTCTGAAAAGTTTCTGAGACACTGGTTACAGTCGTCAATGAGATTACAGTGGTCGAATGCTGACGCTTGTTGAGACACTAGCATGCATGATAGGACCTGAAGTGGATAATGATAAGCTAAAATAAAGTAACATTTTTGGGGGACCAGAGTGAGAGTCCAAAGCACATGATGTTATTGCCAAACCTTAGTTCAAAGTATAACTATAATCTTGCAATCGGTACTCCGTTCAACATTGTATTTTGTAAATATTGAAAACATAAAACTTAAAAGCGTACTTACCGTTATCGTGAGAGCAGCTGATAAGACTCGACCATCAATAACCATATCTGTCAAGGTTATATTTTTAGAACTTGGGTAATAATGATATCGCACTCAAAAGTGAACTGAATTCTCGGTTTTGTCCCAATCTTGCTTTTTTTCAAAAGTTGATTAGAATTGTTTGTTTCTTTTCAGCTTTTTATTTTTATTTCAAATATAACAGTGCTTGCAAGCACGACCGTTGTACCTTCTAAATCTGAAATTTAGCATGGCGGCTATTTTACAATAGAGTGTCGTAATACATATACCTATCTACTTAATAATAGTGAAAACCCCGTCTGTTCGTTCGTCTGTCTGTTTATAATATCCAAACCACTTAATCAAGAAAACGGTAACAGAATTGGAATTGGTTATTTCGGTATATAGTGCCGAAAAACGCTGACGAAGCAAACAAACTTAGGTTTTTGAAAATGGACTAAAGTAAGTGGGTCAATCAATGGTTTAATTGCAGGTAGCCTGCTGATTTTTTGTATAGCGGCAGTTAACTGAATGTTTTGCTTTAATTGAATTTCCTATGATTATGAAACACAGTTCGCCCAATACATATTTAGTTGCAAGCATGACATCAGGACGGCAGGTTATAAGTAGGCAAATCCACTCACTCGCTCAGACCGAGGAGCAAACTGCAATTAACTTTCGGGTGAACGGTGCTTGATAGGAAATTCAATTAGAGTACAACATTCCGTTATAAACCCCTCCGGGATAGAATAAGATTCTGATAATCCCGGCTCCCGCTAAATAGATTTTGATAATCCCGGCTCCCGCTGTTAGTTTTTTCCCGCTGAATGAATAACCCCGGCATAGTTTCTATAATCCCGTCCCGCTAATTTGGCTCAACAAGATTTGTTTTGTTTTGATATTCCATGAGAATTTCAACCGCGCACTGTCACGTGTTTTGATGACGTGTATCACGTGACTAACTACTACGACGCGCATTGGTAAAAAATATCACGTGACCTATTGGCTTAACGTAAGAACTATAAATACACTTGATCTACGTATCGGTCTAATTGCAGGCGCTGGCAAAACTCCAGTACACTGCTTACATTACTAATACTCTTACATTAATTGGACCAGTTCCAGAACTTGTCTAGACGTTTACATTTGATTTTGTCCGGTTAATTTTGTCGTGTTTGATATAAGCCATGTATGATAGTCGTCTACTTTGATGAACTTAATCATCATGACACGATATCATTATTAGCTCCACCTTTTATCGCTTGCCAGGCTTAACTCGACGCCCCTTATGATTATCGATATTCATATTCATTCAACGTTCTGAGGAATAATGTTTAGATATAACGCCAATTTCAAATGTCATAGTACCTTAGTTGTATTTATTTGGTAGTCCCCAATTCCATTTCATATTTTCCATACTGATCTCAAATAGCTAGAATTAAGAGTAAAATGTCAAATTTGTTGGTCCTAGCACTAACCCGGAGGGGTTTATAACACATAACACCGGCACACTTAAGTTATATTAAAATAACCCCTCGTGCTAAAGCACGTCGGGGTTATTTTCATAATAATCCCTCGTGCTTCGCACTCGAAATTATTATAAATTTTTCCCGCGCGTCGCGGGAAAAATTGAAATATAATCCCTGCGCATGCCGGGGTTATGTGTGTTATAACTACCGCTATAACGTTTCGATACCTCCATTAAGTTTGAGTGTGTTCTCTTCATCCTCACTGGCAACGATTTTTGTTTTTCAGATGTGTTATTCTGCCACTTGAAATTTTGTTAACGTTTCTGCATGATGCAGGTTTTCGACTGAGCACGTTTATACTTTTGTACCGTTTTAACTGCGACAGCGAAATCACGGCCGAAATATCTATACTCAGGGGGAAACGTTTTGCCAGTCAATTAAGTATCATTTTTAATTGTCTATCGTTTCAAAATTATAAAAAATTCAGCAATGTTGGACCACAAGTCTTGTGAATAATATTTTACTAGCATTTTACAGTGATTTTAGCGGTTTGAGTCAGCATGACAACATGTCACCTATGCATGTAACTCGATCATATCTCTCGATCACTGATTAAATGAGTAAAGCGAGCGACTGATGTCAATCTCGTTATTATTTTGCATTTGACAACAGCTACAGTAATTCTAATTGATACTGTTTCTTTTTGTTTGAAAAAAAGGAGACACTGGCGAAGAAGACGGTCCACTTTACCCAATTTTGGGTTTCGGTTAAAAGGTTTATACTAATCCATTTTCAGTGATGGTATCTAGCAAGGAAACAATCCTGGTGAAGGTGATGAAATCACTGTGGTACACCGTAGTACTATGGTTAGTCATTGTCTTCAGCTCCGTCATCTTAATGGGAATAGAGGGGAACCACCACCAGCTGGTACAATGGAGGAACATGGAGGAACTGGAGCAGTTTAACAAAAGTCTTTATAAGGTGATCAGCGTTACTATTCCAACTGTTACTATTCCAAATGTTACTATGCCACTGTTACTATGCCAACCGTTACTATACCAGTACTATGAAAATCTTTACACTCCTTTTTAATCGCAAGATTTCTTCACTACTAAGTTTAATTTATTCAAAATGATGACATTGTATGATGTGAGCTGTTTTGGAGTATCATTATCTAGTTATAATGACGTTCTTAACAGTGGATAACGAAGACAGATAGCGCCGCTGCTACAAGTCTCAGAGAGAAGATAGGACTAAACGAGCAGCTCGGGGAGTCAGAATACGAGGAAAAAGCTCTGACACAGTTCGAAGCAAACTTCACGCAAATATTTAAGCGCATGAAGGCTAACTGCACGTTGGCGACTCATGATTTGAAGTCTTGGAACAATATGACTCAATCCACGGGAGATGCCTTTATGTATGCAGTGAGCATATTATCAACAGTAGGTCAGTGGGTATGCACCAGCACCAGCACCAGCACCAGCACCAGCACCAGCACCAGCACCAGCACCAGCACCAGCACCAGCACCAGCACCAGCACCAGCACCAGCACCAGCACCAGCACCAGCACCAGCACCAGCACCAGCACCAGCACCAGCACCAGCACCAGCACCAGCACCAGCACCAGCACCAGCACCAGCACCAGCACCAGCACCAGCACCAGCACCAGCACCAGCACTAGCACTAGCATCAGCACCAGCACCAGCACCAGCACCAGCACCAGCACCAGCACCAGCACCAGCACCATTACAGATTGAAGGGTTTAGATTTAAGATTAAATTTAACTTTTATTTTCAGGATGGGGTGTGGCGTATCCTCCGACTAATGACCTTAGAGTGGTCACAATATTCTATGCTTTGTTAGGAGTACCCCTCTTCGGTGCTTTCATAGGTATTTGGTATTTAAACGTTCAATATGCCAACCGTAATTATTATGTCAACCGTTTTTACAAGAAAGCTGATCCTTTCATCTTAAAATAATCATGAACTCTGATCCTCCCACTATATCTGTATCAGAAATGAATAAAAATTGACAAAAATTTCAACTTCACAGCTTTATATTTTGCCAGGGTATCAAATGAGTTTCGTGGAGTATGTGGAAAACAGAATGAAAAGAAATAGATTTGTTAAAACCTTCTTGGGAGGCGTCACTACGATCAATGTTTGCATGGGCGTGGTTATGCTCACAATCGCTTTAATATACTGTGAGTTTAAACTTTAAGCACGAAACTGATTTCATGTCCAAGTGATTTTCAATAGATCCAGCAATAACTGCCTCAGTTGATACTGATGCATTCAAAAATTAACAAAATTTAGATTAATGTAGCTTGATGTCTATGACCAAAATCAAAAATGAAACAATAACTCCAGTTTTCCCTGTCAGGTTCGATCAGTATGTTCATGGTTAACGAAGAAAAGAATGATCCTGAACTAGCATACGATCTGGCTGTAATTGGTGAAAAGGATCACTGGACCTACTTCACTACCATCTACTTCACCTTTCAGGTCTTTATTAATTTGATTTATTGGATTACTGGTCATATCTTTATTAGGTACTGATGAGTGATGATGAAACAAAATATTCTACCAATGTTGTAAAAATTTAATTTGAAGTTAAACACTCATTCGTTGTCTGATCGCGGAAAATATTGATTCTTCATCTTTCAGGTGGTATCCACAATAGGGTTCGGTGACGAGTTCATTTACAGCCGCGAGAAAAGTTCGCTGAGTTTCATCAAGCCCATCTTCCTTATCATATTCATTGCGTTTCTCATCGCTTTATTCACTCATGTGTTTGGTAAAATACAGCGGGGAGTGGATAAGAGGGCGGACAAAAAGAGCCGACAGTCCTCAATGGCGATAAGAAACATCTCGCTGGGAGTTAAAAGAGCTTCGACGGTAATGATTGGGAAGCAATCTCAGCGGATTCTAATTGCTAATAGGATTGAAGAGGAGAAAGACATTGACGAAGCAAGCTCAATGACTAATCAAGTCACAAATTGAAAGCCAAAAAGTGAAAGTAGATGGCTTGACATGGTTAGATTTAAGGTTAAAAACGCTGTTTTCATTTTTATTAATTTCGATTCGATGTTAAACGGAACTGTGACTCTGGAATGACCCTGATTGAGTTTGCAGGTTGAGATGATGACTCAGTATACAATTCTTTATCCTGATTTTAAAACAAAATAGAGACTTCATGTTCTGCATAATAAAGGTATGGTAGAGGAATTAGCTATCAGCTTATCAGTTAACTAGGTGTTATTTGCTCGAAATAATTTGAAAGTTTCTTTTCTAATAGTTTTAAAATGGTTTTATTTTATTCGAAGGGTTGTCTAATCAAATTCGTTGGAAAATATTTTCATAAATAGAAGCAGTCACAACTGAGAAACTGGAAAAATGTGAAGGTTGAAGAGTGAGATAATTTTTGAGATAAGATTAAAAAGTCGGGTAATTCTAGGCTGAAGTGAGCGAGAGACCGGAAAGAAAAAGAAAAAAAAAAGAAAAGCATGTTGATGTGAGGCTGCAGAAGAGGTTAAAAAGCTAAAAGCTAAATTCGTTTTATATTTATTTAGTTCAAGTCAAACATTTTTTCTCAATAAGACAACTATAAAACTAGAAACAATTTGATGAAGAATGCAGGTTATTTGAACGATATCATCTAAAACCCAACGTTACATAAACGTGCAAACAACTGAAACAACTGCAAAATGTAAATTTATTCGGTCTGTGTAGAAACGTGCACCGGTCAGTAGAAAGTTATAAGGCGGAAGCTGGGTTGACCAGTATTGCTTGTATTCAACTTGCATTTTACATTGCTTCTGTTATATTCTTAATTAGTCGCCATCCTCAGAATGTGAGCTATGAAATGCAAGTTTTAACAATCTAGAATTAGATTGAATTATTTTCTATAACAGAAGATTGGCAAGGTTCATATGTGTGAAACTTTCTATCATCCTATCAGTTTATTACACATCGGGGTGTTTTATTACGAGTTCGATAAAGTAGTAAAGTATAGTTCAATCTGGCAATATCAGACACTCAGACAGAACTTTACAAAATGGCTAAATCTATGAAAACAAGGCAAAAATCAAACTGAAGCTTTAATCAAGGGATGGTTCAAGAACAACAGGACAGTCAACAAAGTTTGATAGTCTGATAGTCTGATCAATCACTTAATAAAAATAAGTTATAAAATAATGAAATAATGATGAAATATAAACAACAACTAAAATAGTAAACTCAGATACTAAAACTGATTACTGAATACATAAAAAGGAACTGCTTCGACAATTGCTGTTTCAAACGCACATAGCTTTTACCTGGTAGTAAAGCTTATTCAATTAGGGAAGTTCCGGCGAAACAATCACGTGTTAGCCACGTGATAGAGAAACGAATCTGATTGGTCGAGAGCCTTGTCAGCTGTGCTGTGATAGGTCGAGAGCCATTTTAGGTGTGCTGTGATTGGTTGAAGACTATCACGTGATGTGTGGTATGTGATTGTCCTGGAACTGGTACAAATTCTAAATGTACCTTTCACGCTTCATACTTTTGAAAATTATTCGAGTTATCAAGTGGTAATTCAGCCTGTTTAGTACCTACGGTTTACCACGTGTATGTTCGACATAATATCAATACTGAGAAACAAAGCAGTCGAAAGTTGGGCTGGAGAAACTACTAAACTTTTATACATATTATAAAGTTATAAAGAATCGATGTCTATGAAGCTAGGAGGAAAATTACCATTTTTCAGTCAGTCTGTCGCTAAACCCTACTTATTCGGAGACACATCATGTGTGAACATGAGTCACACTGTAGACCGTCACTTAACGTCAACAAGTTCTAGTAGCAAATAATTGGGTAAATTTATCGTATTAAATAGAATCAACAAAAAGTCTCCCCATTATAAAGGTATCGGTAACTTGATCCAATCAGGAACCAGGGGTAATGCTGTAATGACAGCTCACAATGAAGGTGAAAATTTGGCAACCCTTTCAAAAGATTTAAAATAGACCAGTTTCAAGTGCTAGTTTTCACATGGCCATCAACAGGTTGTAAAGCTGAAGGTCGCCGCTGAACAATATCTGCTAGGATATTGTTAACGTCGTGAACACATGGGGACCCCTTACAACTGCTATGATTTGACCAGTGGTGCCGTTCAATTTCAAAGTATGATCTCAGATGCAGACCGTTGTTTTCACAACTGATGATAATTTTGGATGTTATAACTGTTGTTTAAACAAAATGATGATGCTAAGCAAAACTTTTGATCGACTTTAATAGTTAAACATAAATCTGACCCTACAAAAACTACAACCTAACACCCCCCCCCCAGGCCCCAATACGTTGGACGTTGGATTAAATGGGACGGTTTTTTGTGACGACGGCTTCGATGAAATGACGACGGAATTTTAATCGATTGTTGGTACTATTTAGTGATTTAGCAGCAATGGCGATTAATTTGACACTGTCACTGAAAATTTCAATCGATTCCTTTTGCGCTTCTTCAACCGAAATAAAAATAAAAATAACAAAATTATGTTCAAATCGACAAACCGAAGCGAACCAACAACTAATGGTACAATCTTCACACTGCAAATTACATACGAGGGTATTTTGCCGCGGGAAACAGTTGTCATATTACCTAATTATAAACCCATTATGTAATTATAAACCCATTATGCAATTATAAGCACATTGTGTAATTATAAACAGATTAAGTAATTATGAATAGATTTTAAAATACCAAGATCCATGCTTGTCAAGTTAACTAATCCTAATTTGTTTTTCCCTTTCCTCCTCTTTACTAACCCCTTTTGAAGAGGAGACATACTTAAAACAAGCCCTTATTGAAGATGATGTAACCGCACATCAGTTTGACAACCTTAACCCCGGATCTAATTTAAACTTAATTTCAGATCGCCCATTATCACATCATACCTAATTAGGGGGACATTACTTTAACATCGCCTGACTTGTGGTTGAGAACCACGTGACCTCTGAATAAAATCACGTGACACACGAATCGATAACGTTATAATAATGCACGTGCAACATGGGGTTCGTGCACGTGTTAAATTTTACTTTTCGCGTGATTAGTGTGAGTCTGTTTGTGTATACCAATTAACTGGGATCAAGCTCCAAGTGTCAAATTTATACACGATTTCCTTATAACTGTTACACCTGTGTAACTGCATCATTTAGTTAGTTTTAATTCCGCAGGTAATTTCCTGCGATAGAAACTTGATAACTGCAAAAGTTAACAAATTTAAAATTACCGTGATTCTGACCATACTAGTTTGAATGATTTACTCTTTGGTACTTTGCCAAAAAAAAACTAAAGATTGAAGATACACGAACAAACACAATTAACTAAAATCAAGAACTTTAGACTTAGTGCATTATGATGCCATTTTATTTTTCCAATAGCTTGCCATCGAATTTCACACAAATGATTTAATATATAAAATAAGGAAACCTTAAACTTAAAAGTAACTTCAGTTATATCATATATGACATTTGTTGAAAGACTGGTTGATTAACAAAACGCCGCATCGAAAAGTGTTAACGGTTTAAAACTTGATCAACACTTGTATGGAATTTTGCTGTTTTGTACTTCGTGCAATTAAATTTTGGGGACTATGCATAATTGATAATTTACGCGTGTCATGTAATTGCAAATTGACAATGATATGGCCCGTTTTCCCCCCTTTTTTTAATTTAATTATCATTATTCTGTTATAGGAAAAAAACCTGCCAAAATATTTTGCACAAATGGTGGTTCATAACTGCATTTGAAACTGAAATTTGGAATATCGATAGTAAATAGTAGTATTATTAGATAATTTATTAAGTGGCAGCAGTCATTAATGATCTTTTCCAATCAATAACAGTACTTGAATATAATACATGTTAGCCTGTGTAACTGATAACAAGTAAAACGAGTAGTTTCAAAAGCTCTGCAAGCATATCACCTTGCAGAACACAAATTGCAATTCAGTTTTATACATTCAACAAGTGCTTTTATTTAAACATCTAGCAGCACTTGTTAAGCAAAAATCACTCCCTCATAAATCTTCATTGCAAGCATAATGCTGCACTGTCTCTAAGTTACTGGAGAAAAAGTTTACAAACTTCTCATAAATCATACACTGGTAATTTTCTGCTGGAAACGAACTTTTTAGGGTCGAAATAAAAGGTTCTGTGAGAAACAAAACAAAAAACGCCCAAAAGTTCCTGCATCAGGACACCAAGGACTGCAGCTAATAAATATGAGCAACGTTTTGATGCAAATGTTTTTAGTAACCGGCCGGTTTTATTTCAATAATTACTTGGTTTATCTTTCATTTTCTAAAAACATCATGTCTATCCACCATCTCTATCTTCTCTTTCTCTTTTGATCTGATCACCTAGCAACGTCTGATCACCTCTAGCAACAAAGAGGTCCCCTAAAATACTCGAGTTCCGACAGGTCTTGAGCAAGCGCCCAAATCTGCACGTGTCGCTAAGATGTAAGGGTGATCGCCTTCGTATACTCCTTCTAAAATGTCCAGAGACCTGAATGGAGAGCAAAGTTAGTTCTGAGGCTCTGTAATTAGAATATCGAGTTGTGAAGATGTCATTTTTGTGCTTAAGATTTCAATCATTTCCAAAACATGGTGGCAACAAAAGAATCATAAATTATCATTTCGAATGAGCTTGCTAGTGCTACTGACTTATTAAGGAGTTTTTCTGAAGTGGCGAGGTCTCCCATAAGATAGAAGCTGTTACCGAGTAGTCTCAGCAATTTGGCTGAGTCTGGGTGCTTCATTCCTATTTTCTGAGGAGTGAAGAAGAAGTTAATATAACTTTTGAGAAAGCGGGCATTGATTTTAACTTGCATTATGAATATTGCAGGGTTGGATATTTTGGACTAGGTTTGAGACAGCAAATCACATTATTGATCGATATTAATTGTGGATCTCACCTTTTCGCATATTTTGAGACCCCTGGCGAGAACATCCTTGGCTCGGTGAGGTTGTTTCGTGAGGTTGAAGAGGTCGCCGAGGTTCATGAGGGTTGGTACCAGGTTGATATGGTCTTCTCCGTAACGTTTCTCCTTCATTTCCAGGGACTTATTCAGTTTGGTCTTAGCTCCATCATAGTCACCTGAATTACATTGAAATGAAATGAAATCCAGAGCCAAAACAATTTTACTTGAAGTTAGAGCCCTCACAAATTTAAGCATTAATTTCACACGCACCCATTTCCTTGAAGGCTCTGCCCAAGTTGTTGAGATTCCTGGCAATATCAGGATGATCCTTTCCAAAGATTATTTCGTTTGTCTCCAAGGCTCTCTGGAAGAGGACAGCGGCTTTAGCGGTCTCTCCCTGCTCAAGAACTGTGTCAGCCAGGTTGTTGAGGGTTGAAGCAACTGAAGGGTGCAATTCTCCGTAGATCAGCTCCTCCATCATCAGCACTCTCTCGTAAAGGGTCTTGGCTCTGTCAAGATTGCCTGAAATACAGTTCATTATTAAATGTTAGTTAACAGTGAACTGACAAGGTGTGCTCGTAATTTTCAGTGACTAGCACTAATAATGATAATATTGAATACACTTTCTATACATTTTTCATATTTGTGTAAATATTGTAATAAATTACTAACCAGTTGAGTTTTCGATCATAGCCATGTTCTTCAGGGTTACAGCTACGAGAGGATGAGCGTCGGGGTAGCAAGCTTTCTGGATTTCTAGGGCGTCCTATGAATAAAGTAAGTTAGCCATTCTCGAATCACTAAACAGTACAAAAAAGCTAAACTAGTATGACCTCCCAATTTTGGGAAATAGAAACTGTCAAAATCTTTTTCAGAGCAAGATATCCAGCATGATGGACATAAATACCTCATTCAACTGCATGGATTTCTTCATGTCTCCCATGGTGTAGATTACACTAGCCAGGTTGGTCAGAGTGGAAGCTACCAGAGGGTGATTCTTTCCTGGGGTTGAAATTTTCCGTGAGTTACTATTTGAAACTTATTACTTTATTAGATACGAGAAACCAAGTAATAAGTTGGATTTTGGCTATGACCAAACTTTGAAAATATCCACGTTAACCTAAAACTTACAGATCGTACAATACATGAACATATGTTTCCCTTATAATTGCATACTCTATACAACTACAAGCAAGCTTGGAGACTTTTGCAACATAATGAAATTGTATCCAACCACCTTAACCTTGCATTCTCTCTGATGGTTACACATTTATAAATTAGTTTTTAATCGTCTGTATTCTGTGTTTAACGTACTATTTTGATCATATTTCGGTGGCATCAGGCATGGTACAGATCACAGTATCATATTTTAGTTTTTTAGTTTTGACATGCCAGAGTTTCATCAGTGGCTGTGTTGATACGTGATCCGGTATTCTACTGTAACACCAACAGGAAGTCAGAAGTGGCATATGCTGTACTGTACTGTACTGGATTACGTGTCATATCCACTTTCATTTCACTCGCCTTTCTCGCTAGTTATTGCAACAAATTAATTGACAACTTACGTCCTGCAATTCGGAAATTATCTTGCATGTTTCAACTGAACTGATTTTAAGATAAAGCGATCTTTTTGATTTGCGGACAGAAATGAAGTACATTGATATTGTAATGGTGGACAGCTGATAAGTTGCACTGCTCTCATGCTATTTCTATATGAAGAATCGGCTATCCACAATGCATATAAGCATATACTACCCTTCGTGATCAAATGCTACTCCCCCAAAACGAAAAAAAGCGGATCTTTTAGCAGACTTTCTGTTAATTTAGTAATTAGTTTTCCATACTTGAATAAGCCATTCCGACATCAAAATTCAGGATTAGTATAAACACACAGAATTAAGTTTAAATTTAATTTAAGTTCGGCCAATTTTATATTTATTTACCAGTTTACCATTTTTCTTCGCACGTTAATCTGATGAAATTACTTTAACCTTATTTGATATTTTTGATTTTATGAGACCCATGTTTGTTTCAACCTAGATTTATGTGTGATATTATTTATAGCCAGAAAAGAACGTGGTCAGATTGTCCCCGAGCGATGAAAGTTCTTTTAACCCTCCTGGCGTTATCCTTCGCTGTTGTTGCAGTTTCAGGTACTCTTTTTACACTTAGTATCAGGCACTCTTTTTACACTCATTTAGAAAACTAGGTTGGCCTTTTTAAATTTTCCTGTTTCACTTCGAATTGACTTCCATTAAAAGTGAAGATACGTTAAAGGGCAAGTTTATTTGTTTATAACAGTAGATGATCTTGCAGGTACTGCAGGGGTAGCATCTTCACCATACGAAATGACAGTTACAGCTGAATCCGGCGCAGATATTGATGCCGATGACATTCCTTATGAAACTGATGAGAGTATGTTTTCTACTTTTTAAAAAAGTCAGAAATGGTCAATTGAGTTAAGCCATTTTTCTGATGTTTCAGCAATTTTAACTTCTAAGTTTATTGATTCCAACCCATCGCCAGCACGAAAATGCACTTAATCCCCATGTTTACAGACGAAGCGACTGAAGGGGAACCCCTGACACCAGAGGTTATTGAAAGTATTGAGCACCCAGAGGCACCCACTGTTGTGGAGGATATCGAGGACCACGCTATTGATGGAGAGATCGTTCAAATAGGTGAGACATTGTGCCAATGAGCGAGAGATCGGTCAAATAGGTGAGAACTTGCCCAGATCATAGATAACTAAGTCAGATTAAAGTTTAAAATGAAACTTAATTCTCACGGGAAACTTTCTACATGGATGATTGAAGTTTTATTCACCAAAAGCTCATTACAGATTAAGACTTTTATAAATAATTCACCAAATCCTCCACCACTTTAATTTAATAGCAGTTCAATTTGATAGATATAACGTTTTTGTCAAGATTAAATCTGGTTCACTTCCTAATATTTCCCGCTATAAAATTCCTGGATTATCCCCTATTCCAACAAAATGATAGTTTTTCGATTAAGCTATCTCAGTAACTGGTTTTGCGTTAGCTTGTGGAAGTAATATTACAACCGAGGTCGAGTTTAGGAAATGGTAACCAGGGTAACCAATAGGCAATAAAGCAATATCGAGCGGTAAGAATGCTGGGTAACCAGGAGTTTCTGTGAATTTTCCTATTTTCCTATTAACTTTCTGGTTGCCTGATCACTACAACTCTACAAAAAGGCGACAAAACTATAATAATTTGACGGTCTAGTCATCTCAACAACTGGTTTCTTCTGTTGGCTGGCTGTATTTTTAACCAATAACCTGGATAATAAGTCGCTACAGGAAGTGAGTAATTTTGTAGTGGTGTTTTGGTTGGGGAAGTGATTAGTGAAATAGTGAATGATTACCGAGGCGAAGTGCTCAGTCATTAAAATTGTCTCGCTGGGTGGGAGGTCCGATTTCTTGCCAAATATCTTGTCAAGTATTTTTCCAAAGGTGTTCGCACTTCCGTATATAGTGATCTGAATATCTTATTCTCTGTTTCAGTGAAACGAGGAGAGGTAATACCCATGCCGGAGGACAATGAAGTAGATGTGATGTAAGAGATCTATATTCTTTATGGAGGATCAGCTACAGCTTCGATAAATTTTGTACATAGTTGATTAATTTTCTGCGATCATTTAGTAATTCTTATGGCTTTTATCGGGCATAAAAGTTGAATTGTAGAATAATTTGTGAGTAATTGAATGATTATTGAAACATAAATCGTCAAATTGTTACTATGATGTAGATATTGTTTTGTTTCTTTTCATCTGTGGTATTTATTTTCATTTTAATTGAATATCAGTGAATGATTGATAAATATCAACTATTCTAAATAATGCTACGTGGTTTATGCCTTTAATCGTATTATTAGCTTTTGACTAGATACAACGGCAACAACGAGATTGAAATCTTTCAGCTAAAGAAATCGTTTTATCTTATCTGAATAATGAATATTAGGTGACAATTTATGGTCCCTTAGATATTGAGTGGTTGACAAATCATTCTATATTAAGGTTAGCTCACCGTATATCCTGGATCTGATTTTGTGTGTCCTCTCAAGACAATCTTTTGCCTCTTCGTATTCTCCTAGAGCCATTCGAACCTGAAATTGTAATTTTTATTACCTAATTTACTTAAGATAAGGGTTTTTTTCTATCTAATAGCTTAGTCATAACGATAATATTGGATTGCCATGACAAGTTTTACCGCTTATAATATGGCTCTCACCATAGCAAGGTTTGAGAGAGTTGTGGCAATCTCCGGGTACCACTGTCCATACTGTTTCTCCTGGGTAGCCAGGACACTCTGGTACAACACTTTAGACTTCTCGTGCTCGCCCAGAGCTGCGTTTACTGCAGCCATATTGCACAGGGTACCGCTGAACTCGTGACGGGGTACGTCGTGTCGCTCCTGTGGGGGAGGATAGAGTTTAGAACTGAGGTTTGCTCTTACCAGGGATAGTGCTCTACGTTCTAATAAGTTCTGGCAGTATCCAGATAGCCCGACCCCTGTTCGCGAACAGGTGTTCGTGAACAGTTGTACACTATATGAAATATGACAGCTTCAATCTATTGATCGGTTACCAGATCATATGACCGCATATCAATCATGAAATGTTATGAAATTGAATGGTATGTATGGTATCTTGGATGCAATTAGTTACGACTAGCATAATTTGATGGTCACAACGCATAACTGAGAGAAATATGCAAAGATCAGTTCTGATTTGAAAGTAAGTTCCTAACTAACGGTTAGGTGCCATGGAGCTGACTGATAATTTGATAATTTGATAATTTGATAATTTGATAATTTGATAATTTGATAATTTGATAATTTGATAAGAAGATATGATATTGGTAAACCACCCACCTGTATCCTCATGACACGTTGCAGCTGGCTGTGAGCTTGTGTTGGTTCTCCCATCTTGTTCCTCAGCATGGCCAGTCTGCTCAGAGTATCACAGATCTCCAGAGCCTGTGATCCGAACAGACTCTCCTGGATACTGAGGGATCTTTCTAGAAGCTGGTTTGAGTAGCTGAGATTACCTGTAAAGATGGTCGAGTTAGTCGTATTAATCATATCACTAAATATTAAATATTAATCATATTAATCGTATTACTAAAGTCCTTAACCTCTTAACATTATAAATTAATTAAAGTGAATGAAATCGTTAATCAGAAATTTCATATTACCCAAATTAATACTACGTAAGTACTACGTAAGTATTACGTAAGTCGTTAATAATTGAGATTAATTATAGTGGATGATATCAATTATCAGAACTTTCTAGAACTTGCTGTTAACTAATCTTTGTGCAGTGACCATGCCCCTGTTCTTTGAGCCCCAATTGAGCCCCTATTCATGGCCAAACCGGTTGTTCAACCGCTTCTTTGATATGCAAATCAGCTGCTTCATGACTTAATTACTTAATGGTTGTCTGAGATTCACTGTTAACTTTATGTTAAAGTAATATTAAAGTGGCGAACTTATTTTAGAGCTGAAATGAGAAATTAATATAAGTGTTGTAATTTCTCTCAATAACCATCCTCAGTAAATTAATTTACTTTCCAGGAATATCCGTGGATTGAGCTGGGAACCGGGACAGTCCTTAGTTTCTATAATATAATGCCACTATCTGTACCGTCTAGAATGTTATCTTTGTAATTAAATTTGTAAATTGTAATAAAAAAGTAAAATAAAACTTACCAATGTTACCGTGAACCTGAGCGAGTTCGTTCAGAAGCTCACTCTCCTTGGTCAGCATATCTTCACCATCCAGTTGTTCAATGATGGTCAGGCACTGTTCCAGCACTCCCGCTGTTTCTTCTTTCTGTCCCAGTCTGGCTGTGAAATATGGATTGTTACAATTTTTAGTCAGTTTTAGGTTGCAAATCAGCCTTAAGCACTTGAGCACTTGTTGAGTGTTTTGGTATTTTTCTTCTGAAACCAGATCGTCGTGATTTGTTTTGTGTTATGATAGTTATTGCCTTACCCAGAACATTAGCTCTGTCCCTCAAAATGTCGAACAGATCCAAATCAGTAGGATTAAAGCACTGGAATGCAATGTTCTGAGCTGTTTCCAAAGCTTCCTCAGCCTTGACGAGCTCTCCCAGCAGTAACAGAGAATCAGCGTAGAACTTGAGGGCTCGGACGGAAACTCTGTTCTTGAAGTTGAACTTGGTGAGCATACAGTTTACAAAGTACTGCAGTTGAGGTCCCAACATTCTTTTCATGGCAAGGTCAGTTGGCTCCTTGGATTCGTACACCTACAAATATCAAAATTATAGATTTTAAATGGTTATAATTCAGAAAAACTTTTAAATTCGCTTTATTGTTATTCAATATTTTATCGAAGGTATAAAGTTAGTTTGTTGGTCTATACCTTCTCGTAGGTCAAAAGAAGCACTTTGGTTGCTTGTACAAATTGCTGGAGTTGGAGTTTTCGTTGTTGTGCAACAGTATCGGGGGCGGAACTGGAACTCTGTCCACCCTGAAATATTTAAATTAAGGGATCTAAATAAAATCTTTTATTCGATTATTGGCGAAAATTTGGCTGTGGAATTTTAAATATTCCCTATTGGGTTCAAATATTTGTATAAGTCCCTAAAACTCTAAAAGAGGTATTATTCGTAAAACGTTAATTTCATTTCCCAAAATGATCACACTTAAAAATGACCAAACACGTGCTTAAGATTGGTCAAAGACATTCTTTGAACATTTTTCGTGCAAATCATGAATTAGAACAATTAACACGGCTGAATTAAGACTTAACTTTTCACTGGACATATGCAATTACCTTTCGCTTATACTGCAATAAGTGTCATAATTGTTTAATTTACTCGATTATCTAACACCCATTATTTCAGCACTTATTAGATAAGTTTTCCTACCTTAACTTTTCGCAAGACGGCGTTCCTTGCAAATTTCCTCATTGCATTGTGTACGCTGTTGTTGAAGGTTATGGCGTCCACCTCGTCCTCGAACGATCGGAGAGTATCTTCCACATTTACAACCACGCTGCCTTCTCGTTTCTGGAGTTGAATTCTATTGTTACAGTGGTTGCTTAGACACTCGTTAACTTATGCCTTATCGTTAAAGGTTGATAATGGGTTAAGTAATTATTGAATTATAGCTTTTTTACTTGGCTTGGGCGAGTGCTCACAATACCGATGTTTCAAAAAAGCTTGCGCAAGAATCTAATAATTAAGAGTGAACTGTAACTAACCATGATAGGAACTTCTCCGGAAATCAGTACGTTTCCGTACAAACTGGCCTCGACAACTCGATCAGCAGCAGAGTTTCTGCCATCAATTCCCGGTTTCTCAATACTTCCCGACATCTGAGCTGACTCTTTAGCTTTCTCGGCTGGAGTTTTGGGTCGAGCAGGCTCAGCTTGTTTTGCAGCTGGTTTTGCAACCGGTTTCTCAGCTTCTTTCTTCTCAGCAGCCTTTTCTGCCAGAGATTTTGGTTGAGGGGGCTTAGCTTTTTCTCCCGCAGGTTTTGGTTGAGGAGGCTTAACTTTTTCTCCCGCAGGTTTCGGTTCAGGGGCCTTAGCTTTTTCTGCCGCAGGTTTTGGTTGAGGAGGCTTAACTTTTTCTCCCGCAGGTTTTGGTTGAGGGGGCTGAGCTTTGGGCTGAGGAGGTTGAGATTTTGCTTTAGGGGGCTCAGCCATTAGAGGTTTGTAGCTTCCAGCCTCCACTGTTGGTGACTTATCAGCTTTCTCCTTAGCCTCAGCTTTTTCTTTAGCTTCAGCTTTCCTTTCTGCCAGAGATTTGGGTTGAGGGGGTTTGGCCATAAGAGGTTTGAATTCTCCAGCCTCAACTGATGGAGGCTCAGCGTTCAGTGGTTTCACTTCTCCTGATTGAGCACTTGGGGCACCGTCTTTACCTTCACCAACAACCTCCTCGGTGTCAACGACTGTTTTCTTCTTCTTTTCTGGCTCAGGTGTAGGTGGAGCAGATTTAACCTCAATCGGCTCCTCTGCTGGCTTTACTTTTTTGTCTGCCTCTGGGGATGGAGGAAGGTTTTCTCCAATTGACAAACGGTTCATGTTTTCCAGGGAACTTGGGCGACTAGTTTCTTCCTTTTTGTCATCGGCTTTAGTTTTATCTGTAGCAGGCTTGCTTTCTTCCTTTTTGTCTGCAGGTTTACTTTCATCTGGCTTTTTGTCGGATGTTTTAGTTTCTGGAGTAGCTGGGACACTTGCTGGCTTTTTGTCGGATGCCTTTGATTGTTCAGTAGCGGGGCGACTATCTGCTTTCTTTTCAGTAGCAGGGGCACTTTCTGGCTTTTTGTCGGATGCCTTTGATTGTTCAGTAGCGGGACGACTATCTGCTTTCTCTTCAAAAGGCTTAGCTTCTTGAGTAGCAGGGCGACTGTCTGCTTTCTTTTCAGCAGCAGGGGCACTTTCTGGCTTTTTGTCAGATGCTTTAGATTGTTCAGTAGCGGGGCGACTGTCTGCTTTCTTTTCAGATGCTGGAGTAGTGGGAAGATTTTTGTCGGCAGCCTTAGATTCTTGGGTTGCTGGACGACTATCTGCCTTTTTCTCTGCAGGTGTGCTCGCTTTTTTGACTGGAGTTTCAGCCTTTACTTCTTTGCTAGCCGGCCGACTCTTCTCTTGAGTTGATGGGCGGCTGCGTTCTTTACCTTCTTGAGTTGATGGTCGACTGAATTCCTTAGGGTCGCGAGTTGATGGTCGGCTGGGTTCCTTTTCTTGGGTGGCTGGGCGACTGAGTGGTCTTGTTGCTTCCCTGACAATTTCCTTTATAGATTCATCTGGCTCAGTAGATGGGCATAGCACTTTTTTGGCGGCTGCTGTCAAGCTACCATCTCCGATTTCAGGCAAAAGGTCCACTTTGGAGGGGAGAGAAGACTGAAAGATCCCTTCTGTATCTGCAGGCAAGGTGTTCTTGACAGACTTAGTTTGGACAGTTATGCTAGATCTCGGAACCAAAAACAGAGGACAACTTCTGATTGTGGCCCTAACTGAGTTCTCCATTTTGGTATTATCAACATCATCATCCGTCTTCAAACCGTCCATTACAAAGTTGGTTATCACTTCAACCGGGACACTGAATATATCGTCTTTGTCGCAGAATGCCAAAAATGTGAATGCGGATCTGAAATGATGAATTTGTTTCAATTATATACGATGTTATACTTTTGAATATCTTCCCATCTATTTTCTTTACCTCATAAAACATGGAAATACTCCTAAAAACACAGTTAATACTCACTCTAAGAATGGGTTAACGCTTCCAAGCCTGTTGATGGCCATTTCAGAAACTGCATGATTGTTTTCCAGGATGGACGTAAGGGCAAGACTTTGTTTGGTGTTGTAATGTCCTACAGTTCCCATCTTTAGTTTTTCTATTCTGATCAAACAATCTTTCCAGCCGAACCCGGCGTTGTCGGGATTTTGTAGAACGGATCTAAAATTAGAAGATTGGGTAAAGCTCTGAAAAAATCCTTGTAACCATTAAAATATTTGTCATTGAAATCGCTGCTTAAATAATAAATATCCTAAATATCTTAAATATCTTTAGTGAAATTCAAGCTGAACGGAAAGGTTTCAATATTGGGAGGTGATATGTTAAACTAACCGAAGGAATATAGCGGTGTGAGCAATGCTCATTGGATGATAGTTCAACTCTCTCAAAAGGTACTTGGCACCATCATCGTCATCTTTCTTACCAGACAGTGTTCTCAGCAGGTCCAAAGATTGTTCCTCGATCAGACCTAGAAGAAAATTTACGTGATCTGATGATATTCTAAATTGTCTGTTGTAATGAACAATTTAAACTACGTTCTTTACGTTCAGTCGCTAGAGACTGTGGAGTGTTTGGACATTTTTGATGCATAGACAGTTGTAGGTCTTTAAACTCTAAACTTCTAAAGACAATTGACTGTAACAACATCCATTATTATGTTATGTTGTCAAAAAGTAAGAAAGTACAGCTCCTGACTTTAAGCTTTTACGTACGGTGCTTGCCTGCTTGGTTTAAATATTGTGCGTCTTCACAGAGGCAGACTATAAAATATTGGGTGAGTCAGTCTTAAATATAAAGTACTGTCTCTCTGTCTCTCTATACTTATAGCTATGTAGCTATGAATTTCACCTGAAGAGTCTCAGAGGGTCAGAGTAAGAAAGGATGAAAGTTTGATTGAAGCCCCAACAAGTAGACATCATTGCCAGAGCTGTATTAACTGTGGCGCACAAATTCCAAGCCACGTGAATTATATCTAGTTGACTCCCCACCCCGTCACGAATAACCAATGAATATTCAGCGAATTATCAGTGAATAATCAGTGAATAAGCAGCGAATATTCACTGAATAAGCAGCTTATCTAATCCTGCACTCCCACATATATGGCAGTGGATATGATGACAATAAAGTGTGCACACAATCTTGACAAGGGTTCACCCCACCACAGACTACTATTATACTACAATACTCTACTGTAGACTAGACGTAATCTTGAATTGTGGCTCTTCTCAAGCGAAGGTGATTGCATAGCATTGGATTCAGATGCTAGTGCATCATGTAACCTAGTAATCAGACTGTTATAGGTCTGTTATAGGTAGTCTTCATGCACAATGCAGTCTGTTGTAGGTTGTCTTCATGCATATAGTGGAGCTATCTTATCAGTCCAGGACTTAGTACTGAACTTTGGCGACTGTTTGTGGGTATAAGTCGTGTTCCTTTGGGTCGCCATATTTTCGGCTAACTTTAAATTTGTTGTTTAGATAATATTGTTAAGATATTGTTCAGATGTTGTTCAGATGTTGCACAGACGTTGTTCAGATGATGTTCAGACGTTGTTAAGATGTTGTTCAAATGTTGTTAAGATGTTGTTCAGATGTTGTTCAGATGTTGTTCAGATGTTGTTAAGATGTTGTTAAGATGTTGTTCAGATGTTGTTCAGATGTTGTTCAGACGTTGTTCAAATGTCGTCAGATGTTGTTCAGATGTTGTTCAGATGTTGTTCAGATGTTGTTCAGATGTTGTTAAGATGTTGTTAAGATGTTGTTAAGATGTTGTTAAGACGTTGTTCAGACGTTGTTAAGACTTTGTTCAGATGTTGTTAAGATGTTGTTAAGATGTTGTTAAGATGTTGTTAAGATGTTGTTCAGACGTTGTTCAGATGTTGTTCAGATGTTGTTCAGATGTTGTTCAGATGTTGTTCAGATGTTGTTCAGATGTTGTTAAGATGTTGTTAAGATGTTGTTAAGATGTTGTTAAGACGTTGTTCAGACGTTGTTAAGACTTTGTTCAGATGTTGTTAAGATGTTGTTAAGATGTTGTTAAGATGTTGTTCAGACGTTGTTCAGATGTTGTTCAAATGTTGTTCAGACGTTGTTCAGATGTTGTTCAGATGTTGTTAAGATGTTGTTAAGATGTTGTTAAGATGTTGTTAAGATGTTGTTAAGACGTTGTTCAGACTTTGTTAAGACTTTGTTCAGATGTTGTTAAGATGTTGTTAAGATGTTGTTAAGATGTTGTTAAGATGTTGTTCAGACGTTGTTCAGATGTTGTTCAGATGTTGTTCAGATGTTGTTCAGATGTTGTTCAGATGTTGTTCAGATGTTGTTAAGATGTTGTTAAGATGTTGTTAAGATGTTGTTAAGATGTTGTTAAGACGTTGTTCAGACGTTGTTAAGACTTTGTTCAGATGTTGTTAAGATGTTGTTCAGATGTTGTTCAGATGTTGTACAGACGTTGTTCAGATGTTGTTCAAATGTTGTTAAGATGTTGTTCAGATGTTGTTCAGATGTTGTTAAGATGTTGTTAAGATGTTTTTCAGATGTTGTTAAGACGTTGTTCAGATGTTGTTAAGATGTTTTTCAGATGTTGTTAAGACGTTGTTCAGATGTTGTTAAGATGTATAAACTACCTACCTCCGTTCAGACTAAGTTCGTTGATCTCAGCGTTAGCCAGCCCCAGCTCTCCGACATCATCTACACATAACAGCACCTGTATAATTTATCGTGTTAATTATTTAATCGATAAATAACTTAGTCATGTCTTAGTGATTTAGTTTATTGATGGTCTGGACGTGATTTATTCGTATTTTGTCTGGTCACTCTTGGTTAATCACTGTCACGTGACAGAAATAAATCAGGTCCCACTATTAATCAAGTCTAAGAGTTAGACTATGTTATTTAATAAAATTTTAATGAGGACCGGCCTGTTTATTGATTATCAATCAGATGAGCCCTTTTGTCGGACTACTTTGTCAAGCTGATAGGTTAGAGGCTGAATTGATTACATGATAATTGATTACATGATGCTGCTAACAATGGGGGATCATTTCATCTTGACACTCAATCTCTCAATCATGTAAATAAGAACCCTCACAGACAAAGGTTTCCTCGTTATCATGATAACCGATACCAGGTTATCAGGAAATCAAATCGTTTAAAACACGGAAATTGCAACTTTCATTTTACTAATCATGATGAATATTCATGTAAATTATGATAAATATTCATAGTGACTCTAATATTATACCTGAGTATCACCCCATTGTTCATCGCCGTGCTGTGGCCAATACTGCCTCAGATTCTTCATTTGCTGACCAACGTTAGTCAGGATCAGCAGCATCTTGTAACCTGAAGGAAGCAGCTTATTTCTAGTTCCTTTCCAAACACAAGGTAATATTTTATCAGGTAAATTCACATCTAAAATCACCACTATACGCAAACCGCATGGGATTTGTCAAAGTCTTTACAAGTGAGATGCCGGATGCGTGGGAGTTTAGAAATCCGTATCAGATCAGCTTAAAGACTTAAAGAGCAACTTAAGTTACGTATCAATTCAAGTTGAGTATTAGATTAACATCAAGTTGAATCGGCCCCTCATACTCTCATACTGTAAGAGAATCACTCAAAATTTGACAAATTTCCCCTTTTCTCACTTTATTATCATTCCTTAGAAACAGTTGTTAACGGGAAAATAATATTACCGTGTTTCTTGCTCTCATAAATCCGTTTGGCAGTTTTGATCCGCTTTGCCATGAGCTGACACTTTCGTCTGATCACAGTTTCAGTGTTGGCGGGAGCTCCCATCATCACAGCTAAATCACACAGACTCCTGGTTATCAGTTAATTAGTCAGTTAATTAGTATCCGTTAATTAGTATCAGTTAATTAGTCAGTTAATCAATTAGTTTTTTTTCGATATCTTAATTAGTTATCCATCAGCCGATTAATCTTGCGTTAGTTAAACCAACGTTATGTGTTCTGAAAATTAACATGGTGGTTTCACTGATTGGTAATAATTATTTTTCAATCTGCCTCTCACCTGAATAGAGATTCGGGTGTTTCTAAGTTCCATGTGGACACTACTCTCTTCTTGTCTCCTCCCATTTTCATGAACTCCTCGCCATACTGAGCACACACGGACTTCTTCCCCGTGCCGGGAAGTCCTGCGAAATAATTTCACGTTGGACGTTTATTGTATTCAAGATCAGTGCCCACAAAGAAATAATTCCAATGGTGATGACAGCAGATTATTTGCAAATTCAATATTGATGTGGTATTATCTCGTTTAATGATGATAACCACAGGCAATATCTAAAAGCAATAAAATGTCTTGCGTTATTAAGATGAGTACCAGTAACGTATATAACTCTAGCTCCATTAGAATTTATGTTGGAGAGGTGAGTGAATTCTTTTCTCAAGCCATCAACTGCCTTTACTCGGGGCACTGTAGCGTGCACGGGGCGTGGGGGTAATCGGAACGCCGTCGGCATACTACTATCTAAAGTTTGAAGTTTCTGTTATACTATTCTAACAAGCTTCTTAAAAAATCACAATTGTTAGTGAATAAAATTCATAAACTAGCTTCAACTTAGCAAAACAATTAGAACTTGGGTTTTTGGAATGTTGCCATCTTTCGGTTGTTAGTTTTTAAAATAATAACCAATATCTGCCAATAAGGTATATTTGGGAACACTGGACAGGAAAATCACAAATGAATGATAATTCGATCCGGATCTTTCAAAAACAACCGATAGCAATTAGAAAATCTAAAATCGAACGTATAGCATGTAGCGCAATAGACAATCACTACTGCACAGAATATCGACTTGTTTTCACTGCGATCACTGGGGCAACTCCTGCTCCGCTTGTTATTGCTTCAAAATCATTACGTGGTAATCGCACGTGCACGTCACGTGATATGCACGTGGGTGGTCACGTGGCAGGTAATGCTGGAGTTACAGGTGTTGTTGACTGTCACGCTCCAAGCCATCAGTTGTTGAGAAAATCTTTCCGTTCTCGCCCTTCCGTTACAAGTGGCTAGTGTTTAATCACGTGCATTTTGGGACGCACGTGGCTTCTTATCGAGTGCACGTGGTGGTCTTCCCAGTTAAAATTTCCAATTCACTCATGTTGTGTTACACACAATTGCAATTTAGTGACTCGCATGTACGGCAATCTAAGTCTGACCACGTTTAAGTCACTTCTACAAGCATGCTTTATGCTACTTTTATTCAGAGCAAACCTTTACATAAAACAGTGATCACCTAACATATGCTGCAGTAAATATAAACATTTACCCTCATAACGTACATAAAAGGGCCTGCCAAAACGCCGGATTGCCGCCAGACCGAGCTCAGCCAGAATAGGTGTTCATTCTTTGATGCATGTGCCCCTGAAACAAGCTGCATGATCACGCCCTCATGTGCACAAGAAAAGTAATCAAAGAGATCTGGAAGTAACCGTGAGTCCGTAAAATCGATGTTCAAAGCAACCTTGGAACACTGTTTGAGTTTCCTACTATCCTGTCATAAGGTTGGCAGTGTTGGCACTTTGCCAGGCCACTTATTACTGCAGGAAATTGAAATTAATTTCAAGGACTAGTTTTAAAATGAGCTTTTGCTCGCCCTTTTCATGCTGCTTAAGAGTTTAAGATCTGTCACATAATATGCAAATACAACGTTATCCCGAGGGCTAATTAATTAGGTAATTAATAATCACGTACTTCAACCTTTGCGCGACATATTTTTGGTTTTGCTCCGACCATACTTTATATTTCATATTTGAATATTTATAGTTCGGGCCGACTTAGCATCAACTTATGGCTGACTTATGGCCAAATTAAGGCTGACTTATAGTGCCGACTCAAGGCCTAATCAGGGCCGACTTAGACCAACTTAAGTCCAACTTATTGGGCCGATATTCTGATATGACTCCTACACTTCTACAAAACTTGATTACGGAATTATACGGTCCGTAAATACCGAACATTCACTTTGTCTTATATAAATAGTATGATATAATCTCATTGAGTATTATGATTGAAATGTACAATGATTGAAATTAACATACCTTATCGGACCTTATTTGGACGGACATTACTTGAACGCTGGAGGCCCTAGCGCTCATTTTAATATCCGTTCAAATAAAAATGTTAAAGTCCGTTGAATTTTTTTCAACATTTTTTTCATTTCGAACTTTTTATCCAGAATATGACAACTTTTTAATTTCAGTCAATTTCAATAGCTATCATTAAAGTTAAACTAAACTATATCGTTGAATTAATAAAAACAAGGTATTATAAAATTTTAACATTCTGAATTGTAAATATCACATTATTGCATTATCACTATCTTGAAGTTGATCTTCGGCTTCTTCTACCTCCACATTTTCTATTACAACTGGTTGTCTGTCTAACTCGTAGTCGTACCGGGCAATGGACGATCCCAACTGCTCTACTAGAGAGATACTTGAATGCCTAAAGTACAGCTTAAGTTTTATCTCTAGCCCCCCACTTGGTATAGGCGACCTTCGGTGGCCTATGTCAGCTACGATACCTTCTACCATACCACCTATCTCAATAAAGTAGAAGACAAACCGGGATATCTCCCAAGGTATATGTGACCGACGGTATCTATTTTAGTCCTGTAGGTAGCTTTGTACCTTATCTGCACAGCGCAGATAAGCTTATTATATTGTATGAAAAACATGGATTTAAAAATCATTTGCTAAAATTAAAAAACGTCAAAAAATGATGAAAAAAAAATCGGACTTTTGATAATGATGGTTTTGATAGCCTTCTAGCGTTCATATTAATGTCAGTTCATAATTTAGCCGTTCAAGTAATGTCCGTCCAAATAAGGTCCGATAAGGTAGACATAAGTCTGTACATACCGATTTTGATAATCTCGCTAAGCTAGTCGGTTGTATTGTTGGCTAAGCAGTCCATTCGACGCCGATACAATCCAGCACAATAGCCGTACATAGACAGAGTCTATTAGATATAGGGTGCAGGTGCCAATTATACTGATCATTTTCATTATCGATATGTGTATGACTGACGGGCCACAATGGCAGAATACATTATACTGTTTTGCCTTTTATTCTACTGTTATAACCCTATAATCCCTGTCGTTTACTTACAGGTTACTAGAACTGGTTACTAGGTTACTAGAATTGGTTACTAGGCTACTAGAACTGGTTACTAGGTTACTAGAACTGATTACTAAGTTACTAGAACTGGTTACTAGGTTACTAGAACTGATTACTAGGTTACTAGAACTGATTACTAGGTTACTAGAACTGGTTACTAGGTTACTATAACTGATAACTAGGTTACTAGAACTGGTTACTAGGTTACTAGAACTGGTTACTAGGCTACTAGAACTGGTTACTAGGTTACTAGAACTACAAGGTACAGTATACTCCCAGGGCGGCAAGAAGCTGTAGGGGCGGCAAAAAGAAGGCCCGACCTATATGTCCTTTTTTGACAATAGCAAAATTTTGGGCGGCAAAAATATGTTTAAGTATATTTGATAAAATTTAACTATCTTATAAGCATAATATCAATTATAGCGGTTTGTGATATTGAACTAGTAAACCTGTATCTTTGTGGGTGGCCTGCATATTCCTTTCCGTATGTTTTAAGCAATTTGAGTATTATTTGTCTCTGTAAATATAATTCACTACATTGAACCATTTTAATTTCCCATAAATAAACTAATAGTTATCTTTTGGTGAGCATGATGTTTCTGTGAGTCAGGATTTTGCTTTATTGGAGATATTTTTGACGTTCTGAGCACGCGAAGTTTCGACTGAATGCTAAACTTCTTGTTCAAATAACCGCCATGACGAAATATTTTGAACAGTTGGTAAGACCGGCCTGAATGCCATGCACCATGGAGCTAATGATGTAAACCCAAATATCTCGAACCTTTATATGATTTAACGTAATATTTTATGTGTCGGGTACATTCCGACTGACAAATATTTAGACCTACCGGTTACTAGGTTACTAGCTGCTTATAAGGTTACTAGCTGGTTACTAGGTTGCTAGCTGGTTACTAGGTTACTAGCTGGTTACTAGGTTACTAGCTGGTTACTAGGTTACTAGCTGGTTACTAGGTTACTAGCTGGTTACTAGATTACCAGCTGGTTACTAGATTACCAGCTGGTTACTAGGTTACCAGCTGGTTACTAGGTTACCAGCTGGTTACTAGGTTACCAGCTGGTTACTAGGTTACCAGCTGGGTAACTAAGTTACCAGCTGGTTACTAGGTTACCAGCTGGTTACTAAGTTACCAGCTGGTTACTAGGTTACCAGCTGGTTACTAGGTTACCAGCTGGTTACTAGGTTACCAGCTGGTTACTAGGTTACCAGCTGGTTACTAGGTTACCAGCTGGGTAACTAAGTTACCAACTGGTTACTAGGTTACCAGCTGGTTACTAAGTTACCAGCTGGTTACTAGGTTACCAGCTGGTTACTAGGTTACCAGCTGGTTACTAGGTTACCAGCTGGTTACTAGGTTACTAGCTGGTTACTAGCTGGTTACTAGATTACCAGCTGGTTACTAGGTTACCAGCTGGTTACTAGGTTACCAGCTGGTTACTAGGTTACCAGCTGGTTACTAGGTTACCAGCTGGTTACTAGGTTACCAGCTGGTTACTAGGTTACCAGCTGGTTACTAGGTTACCAGCTGGTTACTAGGTTACCAGCTGGGTAACTAAGTTACCAGCTGGTTACTAGGTTACCAGCTGGTTACTAAGTTACCAGCTGGTTACTAGGTTACCATCTGGTTACTAGGTTACCAGCTGGTTACTAGGTTACCAGCTGGTTACTAGGTTACCAGCTGGTTACTAGGTTACCAGCTGGTTACTAGGTTACTAGATCTTACGAATATATGTACCTGCTTTGTGACGACTAAAGCCGTATTATGTGCATGTTGTATTTCGTAAAAGTAACATCACGGCAGCAACGTAAAAGTTTTGTTTCGCGTTCGCATGAAGTAGAGCTGAAATAGAACTTTGTACTACTAATGTGAACGTATGAATTCATATTTAAACTAAACTTAACACACTGTTGTGTGAAAATAAAGTAACAGCTATAAAAACTGCTCAACATGAGCCTATCACAGACCTTTTCTTTTGTCTTTAACAGTTTTACACGTACCTTTTACCTCTACCTAACAGAAGAGTACTGGCAGTAAACTAGTAAAGTTAACTTTCTTATGTTAACTTTGCCAACCCTCCTTCCTCCTCCTCTCCGAGCCAGGGTCTTGTAAGCTTTCCACCGACGTCACAGTAGTTTGTTAACATACTCATAATTATGTTGCATGTCGGCTTACGGCTACATTTTGAGTAAGCTTCTATGTCAGCTTGCGTGCTTAGCTTTTTTGATACCCTCCCTTCGGATAAACAGGGGTGGTCGTAAAGAAGGTTATAGGAGCGTTTAATCCAATAAGATAATAACTTAATAAAATAGGTTTTAAAAAGTATGATTTT